ACAAACCAGCTCCAGTTCAGAAGTCATACAGCTATGTTCACATAGCACTGTGCCCACACCAATAAAACCTGCTGAGAGGCTGGGTATATTAGGCTGGGCACAGTCGTATGCTGTCTGGCCAGCTCCAATCAAGGACAGAGGATTCTGGGCCTTTCTGCATTCATCCATGGAGATATGCCCCTGTGCTGCAAGACCTCTGCACAACTCTTCTGAAATGATTGGTGGGAATGATGGGTGCTCAGAGAGCTGGCGGGGGTGACTGATGAGCCACTCTCGGCCATCTACCAGCATTCCTGGTTATCTGGAGAGGTCCCAGAGGATTGGAGGCTTGCTGATGTGACTCCCAGCTACAAGAAGGGCCGTAAGGAGGATCCGGGGAACAACAGGCCTGTCAGCCTGACCTCGGTACCAGGGAAGGTTATGGAGCAAATCATCTTGGGTGAGATCACACGGTGTGTGGGGGGAGATTAGGCCCAGCCAGCACAGGTTGATGAAAGGCAGGTCATGCTTGACCAACCTCATCTCCTTCTGTGACTGGGTGACCAGACTGGTAGATGAGGGAAAGGCTGCTGATGTAGCATACCTAGACTTCAGCAAAGCCTCTGACATGATCTCTCACAGTATTCTTCTAGGGAAACTGGCTGCCTGTGTCCTGGACAGGTATACTCTTCTCTCAGTAAAGAACTGGCCACAGGGCCGTGCCCAGCAGGTAGTGGTGAATGGAGTCCAGCTGGCAACCCATTGCAAGTGCTGTCCCCCAGGGCTCGGTACTGGGGCCCATCCTGTTTAATATCGTTATTGATGACCTAGATGAGGGGATTAAGTGCACACTCAATAAGTTTGCAGATGACACCAAGCTGGGAGGTGGTGTTGATCTGCCTGAGGGCAGGGAGGCCCTTCAGAGGGATCCAGATAAGCTGGATCACTGGGTTGAGGTGAATGCAATGAGGTTCAACAAGGTCAAGTGTCGGGTCATGCATTTTGGCCACAACAACCCCATGCAGCGTTACAGGCTTGGGGATGAGTGGCTGGATGAGTGTGGAGAAGAGAAGGACCTGGGGGTGTTGGTTGATGCTCAGCTGCACATGAGCTGACAGTGTGCCCAGGTGGCCAAGAGGGCCAACGGCATCCTGGCCTGCATTAGAAATAGTGTGGCCAGCAGCATCATCCCCTGTACTCAGCACTGGTGAGGCCGCACCTCGAGTGCTGTGTTCAGTTTTGGGCCCCTCACTGCAAGAAAGACATTGAGGCCCTGGAACGTGTGCAGAGAAGGGCAACGAAACTGGTGAGGGGTCTGGAGCACAGGGCTTATGAGGAGCGGCTGAGGGAGCTGGGATTGTTCAGTCTGGAGGAGAGGAGGCTCAGGGGAGACCGCATTGCACTGTACAACTTCCTGAAGGGAGGCTGTGGTGAGGAGGGGTTTGGCCTCTTCTCCCAGGCAACGAACAGAACCCAGGGAAATGGCTGCAAGCTGTACCAGAGGAGGTTTAGGTTGGACATGAGGAAGAACTTTTTCTCTCAGAGAGTGGTCAGGACTGGAATGGCTGCCCAGGGAGGTGGTGGAGTCGCCGTCCCTGGCAGTGTTCAAGAGGCGTCTGGATGAGGAGCTGCAAGATATGGTTTAGTGCTTGTGGTAGCAATGGTAGTGGGAGGACGGTTGGACTGGATGATCTTGTAGGTCCTTTCCAACCTTGTCATTCTATGATTCTATGATTTTTTCATATTTTGTAAACTAGAGCCCAGCACCATAAAATTCAAGATTTTAAATATCTACAGTACTCCCTTGTAGTTACTCCAATAAAGACTAAAAAAAAATCCAACCCTCAAAAAGGAGTAATAATTACTAGCACTACAGGGCAATGAGGGCTGGGGCAAACAAAGAAGAAGTACTTCCAAGAGCTCTGAAACACAACTGTCCTCCATAGCAGTAGTTTCTCCCTCAGGCGTTTATTCTGTTGTGACACTGAAGAATTAAAATTTTGTTCTTGTCATCATCTCAAAAAAGAGAGGATGCATCTTAAATTCTATTCATGACTATCTCAAAGCAAACAGAAAATTAAGCTATTCTATGAAAACAAATAAACAAAAAACCAAAATATTGAATCTTAGTTGTTATGAAAAGCCAGAAAATTTTCCTATGAAAGATCAGGTAAAACAGAAAATCACTTGGTCTCTCAAGCTTTGCTCCAAAGATGCACACAGACAAACTCATCTTTGTCTGTACAAAGGAGATTACTCAGTATTCCAAGCACAGGTAGAAGACATGCCTTAATAACCTACTGACATACAAACCAAAGGACAGGTGTGCATTGCTGAGCTCAAATAACGAGCCCCAAAGATCAAGGAATAAAAGCAGAACATGAACACATTACTAACACTGAGTTTTTCTTAATAACAAATGGCCTGCAGCCCTAAGGCTGACATGACTTCTCCGTTTTATATTTTCTTCATTTTCTTCATTTAAAAAGATTAAACAAATAATAACAAAAACGGCCAACAAAAGCAGCTTTTGTGAGCTACCCACTCGATTTTTAGGAAATATGGCAAGTAACCCTTCAATTACAGCATGCTATTTGTGATTTGTGCCAGTCCTTTCATCCTTTCATTCCTGCCAGTGAAAAAGCAGACAGTAAGTTAGCAGAATGTGAAACTTGTGCCTTTATATCGAAGTGATTTCTTCTACCTTTAACTCTTCTGTTCTCTAAAATGAATATTACATGCTTTATGCTATCTGAAAATATTCACTTGTAGTGAACTAGAGACTGCTGAATAAAGCAACCATGCCAACACTTAAGGCATCTTCATCAGCCTTCAGATGTGAACACACGAACTGGACAAGTTTACCCTATTCAAAAAGCAAATATAGCCTGGGTGGTAGCCTTCAAAATGAGTTTTAAGTGTTCTCATGCACATACAAAAACAAAACAAAAAAAAAAAAAAAACCCACAAAAAAAAACCAAAAGAACACACAAAACCCCTCTTATTTGTATTTATGGTTTAGATTCATCATTTGGGAACAAATCTTGGATCCCTTTGTATGCTCACGTATCGCTGTGAACCTAAAACCTGTAAAAAGTTATGATTTATGATTCAAACAAATTCAGGTGGACTTAATCAGGGAATGCTGAAAAAGGAATATGGTTTAATGCTGATTTTCATTGGAACAGCCTGTATCTTGAAAAAGTACTAGACAGTATTAGGCAGTATTTATGTTTGCAGTTAATGTCTGCTGGGTATAATCTTAGATCTAATACAGAGTGTTTATACTTCTTAGCTAAAAACTCCATATTCAGTTTTAGAAACATAAATACAACATTCAGAGTGGATTCAATGAAAGTGGAATCTTTTGAAAACAGGTTTTGCTTTTTTTTTTTTTTTTACAGACTGTGCAAAGAATCAAAATAATGCTAACTAGAACAAATTCTAACAACATTCACTGCTAGTGACAAATCAAGGAAATGAAACTTTTTCTTTGCTCAGTAGCAAGATTGAATATGAACCACTAACATGCTATAGTGGTAGTGTTTAATCATGCACACCTGAGGACAAAACAAAAATCTCAATGAACAATTTTCAGTGAGAAGCTGACCCCTAGCCTTAGCAACAGAAAGAATGTGCTTTTTTTGTTTTCCATTCGAATTATTTAGATGCAGCAACCAGTCAATTTAAGTTTTAAAAACTGAAGAGACTCTGAAAATGTGAGAGTTTGCCTTCTCCAACCCACTAATTAAAAAGCAGATAGGTAAAAAAGGCTTGGACACCTACTCCTGAAACCTCTACCTACTGATAATATGTGGTCTAAAACAGAAAATACCTCTTGTCCCTCTGCCCCTTGTTACCTAAAGCATGGAACAGCTCCAGAAAGTGGTTAGAATTCAACAAATAAGACAATTAAGTGATTAGAATTCAAGAAATAGACAATTTACCACCTCTGAAACAATCTCACACAAACAACACACAGAAACCTTATGTATAAAATTCTACATTTCTTCAGATGCAAAAATCTGGCAACATAGCTCGGTACAAGCAGTGTACAGAATAATTCAGGGGAGTTACTACTGGAGTTACACATGTTTACGTAACATGTATACAGTGTATGTTCCACAATGGAAAAAGCAACCTAATGAATCCATGAATCTGCTCTAAAGGGCAGAAAAATAAAAGAAAATTAAAATTCATCTCTAAAGATCAATAGTTTGTCCAAAATGTGAAGAAAGTGATTTAGGGGGAGGCGTATGTAATTTTTAAGCTCAGTATGCCCTTCTGCCTGGAACATCCATACATACACCCCAGTATTCAACTCCTACCAGGCCAAGAACACCTAGTGACAGTACTGTAGAATCAACAGTAAAACTAGAGAGAAATGTGGTGCAGTTCGCAGACACCCAAAGAGCTGCTGTTGAGTCTCCCTGAAACCTGCAGGAAAATGCCCAGTTATCAGGTGAGCCTTTTGAGAGAAGAGCTCCACACTGGGCACTGAACAGAAGCTACTGCTAACAACCATACACAAAACCATGCAATAACACATCCTTGTCAGAAGAGAGAATAATATTTACTGCCATGACTACGTCACTATGTACTACAAACTGAAGACACTTATGAAATATTTCCCAACAGAGCAAAACCATCACCTCAAAAGTAAGCTATACAATCCCTACTTAGGAATTCTCTTCTGACCGGCTATCAAAAACATTTGGCTTCTTTTTTCCACATCAAAGCTCTTCCTGCATTTACTACCACCACTTGCCAGTTTTGGAATCAGTAGGAAAAGACAAATTACAAGCTGTTTTGTTTGCTTGTTTGTTTGTTTGTTGTGGGTTTTAATTAATTCAACATAGTACATGAATAGATTAGGGTTAGATTAAATGCACTTTATCATGAGAAATCAGGGAATGTAGACATGAATTTGCAGAAATCATTTTCTGACATGACAACATGAATGGCACCAAACTACTGACAGATTTACAGGAGTAGTATCAGTAACAACTTGTATTACTTACTGGCATATAATAGATATTCATTCTAGGGGCTTCATTGGCAGTCATTAGCATTCCTAAAAAGAGATTTCCACAATAAAAAATATCAGTCACGAGAGGACAGCTCTTACTTTTAAATACACACACACATATACTTGAAGTATTTAATTCACAAGAAGTGGATTGTACACAGGACTAAGGAAAGAAAAGCCTAATAGCAGTGCAATTAATCAAGTGTAATTTCCTATATATTCACTCCTTTTGTCCTCTATCTTAGCTTGGCATCACTAAGCAACACTAAGCTCTAACAGCTATCAGACTATCAGTTTTCTTAACAAATTGAAACAGTTCATCTCGTGACACCATCCAGAACAAATTCGGTTTGCCTTACATTTAAAATCTACTTTGGGCACAAACTAACACAAGCGAGGGGCTGGGTTTTGTTTTACTATTTTCAAACACGTATTTATAGTCTAGTCATAAATCATAATAAGGTCTGCTGCTTTACTCATATTTCATCTTAGGAAATCAACGGGAGATTGTCAGCAGGAGAGACAGGATACTGTGGTTTCAAATCAAAGTGGTATTAGTCTGGTGGGGAGAGCAAAATCTGAAATCTCAATGAATTTTCCTAAGGAATGCTGCAAATAAGGGTTGCAAATACTTTGAATAGAAAAAAAAACTACTGTAAAATCCACGAAAAATTTGCAACTGTCACAGGAATATGGATACATTCAAAATGAGAAATACCCCCAAGTTTGCTCTAAATAGGAGTTAGTAAGGACATCTGGCGTATACTTGTTTGTTTGTTTCAGTTCTGACTTTCCAACGTAGCTGATCACTATGTAATACATGAAGACAGAGCATGAAGAACAAAAGAGCAATCAAGTTAGATAACATTCTGATCTTGAAGTAACACATGCCACTGAGACTATGAATAAATGGGGCAGTTACCACACACCTGGAGGGCAGAAATATAATTTACACCCAACTACAGGAACACAATTAACATGGGTGGAGTAATCCTTCCTACCTAATCCTTTTATTAAAAACACACAATGCAGCTGGACTCTTAATATCAGAAAAAAAGGGGGCTTGCTTTCCTGGCAGAGGAAGACATTTGTGAAAGCTCAGTCAGCAAACTGAGGCTTAACACCAAATCTGGAAAGAGTTGCAGGCAACTGAAGGAAAAAGCAAGAATTCCCGGTGTATTTTTCACAGATGATGTGCTCCCTTGGTATATCAGCATGCTTGCTGCTACTACAGGAGGCAAAGCATTTCTCCACTGACTGAGTATGAATCACTACAGATAAAACGACAGAAATTAATTCTGCAGGTGCTTCAAAGATGACAGCAAAGGGAAAGACTCCTCTTTGAGAGTCTTCCACTAATAATTAAAGGCGGGAAACTGTCTTCAGAAGAGTACAAGGGCGTGTACTAAGGGGGAAATACAGAAATAAAATTAAAAAAAAAAGGGAACAACTCCATGAAAGATGTCTGTGTGCACTTTCATCATTTCAGCCTGTTAGTTCTAAACAGTTTTTACAAGAAGGGCCACACCCAATCAAGCTACACAGCAGTCTGCTTTGATCACTTTGAAAGGGAAGTAAATGAGAATTGCTCTTTCACGGAAGTAGTTTTTTAAGACTGTCCTTAGAAAGGACACTGACTGTCCTTAGTGATCAACTATATGGTATCACTGATTTAAAGGAATGAAAATGTGAATATGAAGCAGTCGTAAATGGGAGAAGCAGTTTTAGAAAAACTAAAGTTCCTACAGTTTCTACTTGTGAGGAAAAAATTAATAATTTGGAATGACTGAAATTGTTGCTAGTCTAAAACACAGCTTGAATACTGCCAGTAGTACAGTAAGATTACAAACAGAAAAGGTAGAAGTAAAACTTCTAGAAATACGAGGCATCAATTTTCTCGAAAGAAGAGCCTTCTGAAAGTAGGTTCAATAATTTCTCATTCTTGACATTTCTGATACTATTCTCTTCCAGTTTGAAAAAAAACCTGCGAGTTTCTCATGAGAGAAATTCTGAGTTTTGGCCCATGTGAGTGAGACAGAATAAGGAAAAAGTGTTTTGTTTCACATGACAGCAAACAGTAAAGCTTTTTTAAGTGAATAAGAGAGGATAAGAGTTAGATTACAGTATGGATTTTCTCAGCATTCACTTCAAATTAAGTACAAGAGCACAGATTGGGCAAAGGTTGTGTGATTTCCTGTGCCTTGCCAACTCCTAAATGTCCAGGTGTGCCCTGGGAGTGCTGGGACCCCATGACAACACCGAGCTACCTGTCTTTCCACAACTGCAGCACTGGTATGACTGGAAGTACTTCCTTCAAACGTTCATACTTTAAACTCTATCAGTGAATTAGTGTCAGGCATCTTAAATTTTGCTATCCTCTTCAGCGCTCAGGAAAACCCAGCCCAATTGCTTGTACTGGAAGACCACTCGGTTTCAGAGGGGCAGAATCCTGTGTGTTAAGACAGTGAGCTGACATTTGCATTAGCAGGATCCTGCAGACCTTATAATGTTGTTGCTACATACAGTCAAAAATGCCTGCTGTCTCAGCAGAGCTCAATATGCAAGTGTTCATCTTTAAAAAAAAAAAAAAGAGATTCTTAACTGAAGTTGGCAGAAAAGACAAGATAAGTTTTAACTCGTTAGAAATCTCAAACTCCCTTATCTACAATCTTGAGTCGAGCTGTTAGTATGATTCAAAATCCAAGCTGCTCTGTGTTCACTGCTACCTCTCTAAAATTAAGATAATAGCACAGTTTGCAACACAGGCATTTTCCGATCAAGAACTTTGTCCTCTGCCATCCTACAGGCCATGATGTTTCTTTCACCTTTTCCAGTGCTGCTTTCTGAAGAGAAAGCGTTTATCATGCACTAGTTAAGAACTAAGCAACTACGGGAAAAACTAAGGTCAGCTGCAGTCTGTCTAAAGCACACATGCACATTCAACCACCATTCTGTAAAATATTTTTTCTCCCATGAATTAGGATCTGGAAACAGGTTAAAAGTGGTCCTTTTTTGACCTTGAAACACAATGTTATGAGACGCACCAAATCTGAGAAGTCACAAAAAGCATGCAAACCTGTGGACTCCCCTGTCCTTAAAAACAAAAGTGTTCTTTCTTAAGGACACAGCGAGTGCCATACTTAAAAACAGGAAAGATCAAATGGTCGTAAACATTTGTAAAAATTTGTAAATTTGTTGAAAGAGGTTTTTTTTTTCCCAGCTCTAGAAAGTACGCTCATCTTACACAAAAGGACAAAGTTCTTTTTCTTATGAGATATTTAAGATACTTGAAAAGGCAAAAGTCAGTCACTCAGTTGAAAGCACAGCAGATTCTAACTGCTGAGAGTCTTAATTTGATTTAATGCAGATGCAGAGCAAACAATGACATTAACTAGCAAGTAACTATTTTTCCTAGCTGCATAATAAGAAGTAAAGTAGACCTAATTTGTATCACTTAAATTAAAGAAAGGCAACGTTATGGACTAACACACTTTCCTTTTTGAATTACATAAGACATAACATACCAGAATTTGGATAAAGACAGACATCATTGATATCATATTCTGGCTCCATTGAAGTAAATATCTTCCCCTGTAATTGAAGGAAGATAATGCATTATAAAGAATTCCAAACAGCACAGTTAAATATAGTAAATCTAAAGATCATTACTAGCTATTATAGAAGCTAAGGATGATGGAGTAAAGATAGCACAGAGTTTGCAGAACAATATAATGTTAGAAAAGTATCTGAACATAACATAGAAACTCAGTATTGCATTCTGTCTCTGATCAGGTCTTTTAAGCGTAGCCCACAGGTTACTGAGGACACTGCAATGTACAGTGGCACTTCTTATTTCTTAGTTCATAATTCTGTGCTGAAAAGATACATTAGTTTCACTTCATTTTACTTAATGCGAAAAGAGGATGAAGGCCACAAGTTCCTGGCACATTGCCTCATTTCGTTCAAGTCTGAACGTGGTAATCTTAAACCTTCTCATTTTGCTAAGTGTATTATCCGAAATGATGGATTGGGTGGAATTTGATTGTGCAGTTTGGTACCTCCAGCCTGCCCACGTCTACTTAGAATGAAATATGGCTTGCCACTTTATTTGTAACTTACAAACTCAGTATTAAAGAGGTCTAAGCACAAGATAAAAATAATAAAAGCATCCACCGATATGCAGTTCAGCACAGTAATGAAGTTATTTAAGAAAACGGTAAAAGCAGGAAACAAGATTTTCAAAAATTCAAAAAGAATTGGAACAGAGTCTGAAAAATCCAGACAAAATACAGGTGCTCTGGTAAGCCAAGACACAAGACAGCCAGTTGAAGAAGTGTGTCTAAGAACTGGGCCACAGAATACGAAGCATGAGAGTACATGCCTACACGGTTCTAAATGAGCGACAGGAACAGAGCAAATTTTCATCCTATTCCTCTTTTCTCTTTCCCTGCAGCAATCCCACCTACCTTTCTGGGCCCTTCCTTTCCCACCCAGTTATATGCTGGTACCCCACCCATCCCTGGTCTCTCCCCGATGATTAATAAGAGTCCTCCCCCACCCCAGTCTTAGCAGACAAAAGCCTCACGCTCCCCACCCCAAGGCACGTCTCAGCATGGGGCTATTCTGGTATCAAAGCCATATGCTCTCCACCCCGCAGTCTGCCTCTGCAGTTGGTTCCCAGCCAGAGATAGTCAGGAACCAACATCTGGGAGAGGTGGAGCCAGCTGGAACACACTCTAGGAAAGAGTCCAAAGCTATCTTTGCCTTCCAGCGCTAAGAAACCCTCCCTTTTCCCACTGCAGAGGCCACCTGACAAACCTTGCACTGTTAAATTCTCAGTGAGGAAAATCTCTATACCTAGGAAAAATGGAGAAGGGCCATTGCAGATGTTTTAAATAATAGACAATAAATTATTTGCCTTTTTAAACAATAAAAACTAACTGAAGAGCTTAAAAAAATTGCTTGCAATCACAGAAAAAAAAAAAAAAGGGCTGTTGAAAGTTCATGAAGAAATACAATAGAAAAATGGCTGCCTGAAATAGTTAGAAAATAAGTGCCTCTAAACTACTTTAACTGCTCTTGATATATTTCATTACGAAGCCAAAAAAATCATAGATACAGAACGGAGCAAGTTTTTTAGAAGGAATACAATGAGAAAAGATAGCCTCTTTGACCAAATCAAGTTACAGTACAACTGGAGCCAATCTACAGGATAATGTATTTTGTACAAGCTGCGTCGACAGAAAGACAAGAAAAAAAATTGCATAATGTAAGAAAAGAAAGTCTTACAGTAATTAGATTGCAACTTTGCCTATAGGTGCAAAAGACAGGGATAAAGCTGTTGTCTCTTACGACATAATCCATTAATACACCATAATGCACACTGTTACTTGGATCTTGGCATAATATCTGCCTCAAAATCCCTGCAAGTTCCTGTAAAAGTAAGAAGCACTTGATTTTAATACTTCATAAACTAACTGATCTACATTTGAAGCTAGCTCTCCTTTGAGCAGAGAACTGGAACGACTAATTTTTCTCTGTAGTGGATGTTCACGGTCCACTTAGAGAAATACACACACCAAGGCAATGGCTGAGACTCCACTTTTTGTGTTCAAATCCTTCTACTGAAAAAAGCAGACATACACAAACAGATTAAACAAACAAACAAACAAAAAACCATCAAGACTGTACTTTTATACCTGACAGGCTATTGAATGAATACCTTCCCAGATGCAGGGTTGCTTAGCCACACAAGGAAAAATGTTATGTAAATTACGACACATTAGAAACCCAACTTCCTACTTCAGATTTCAACTTTATTACTCAAATTGCACAATAGATAAAAAGAAAAAAGAAAAAAAAAGAGAATGATACAAATACAGCAACAGAAAAACACTTACGGTATCTTTGTTCCACATCTTTATGATTCTAGAATCTGCAGAGATTATTAAATCCAACTGATGCTGAAACTGAATTGACTTTATAGGCAGGCCATACTGGTGATCTTTGACTATCAGTGGGTTACTAGACCGAAGGTCATACAATAAAACCTTGAGGAATAAAAGACAGATCAATTTTTCAATATGTTAAGGTTACGAGGTAGTCAAACTAGGTCTTCATTAATTATTTAACTCAACTTGAGACTTTTTTGTTTGTTTTCCATAAATAAATCCTCTCAAGTTCCGAAAATGATTAAGTAAGCCCATTTTACTCTGACAATGTATTTTAACCACAAAATCTTTTAGTTTAATTGGAAAAATTAAATTTGCATTCAAGAGTTTACTATCTTTCTAAAGTCTTTTTTCATTTCTATTGAAATTAAAATTGAAAAAAATGAAATGTTTTCAAGGCACTCTCAGTAGTTTTAAATCATTAATACTGCACTTCCACATTCTTGTACTATTCATAGAATCAAAGAATCACCAAGGTTGGAAAAGACCCACAGGATCACCCCGTCCAACCATCCACCAATCACCAGCAGTTCTCAATTCTTACTCAGAAGGTTTAAATCTTCAGATTCCTTCCCAAAAACCTTCAGATTCAGTATCCCTTTCACTCAGAAAAACAACAGGGAGTGCAATTATTTTTTTAGAGAAGTGGTGAGCACAGGCTGTCTTCCAGAAATATGCATTTTTTTATCTAAAAAACCTCCAATGGAATCTCTGAAAAAACCTTAAATTTCTCACATGTATGAATACTAATAATTTGAGGGAAAAACATTACCGATTTGTTTAGCTCAGATTATAAATATATCTCCAGTAAAGCTTGTATGTCACATATAATAGCATTATTACAAGCACAATTCTTACATGTATGACTGTCTCCAAAAAGTAGTTTTCTTAACCCATTAAAGGATCACTAAAGGCAGACCAAAATTTCCTCACACTCTACTTGACGACTAGCATGGAAACAACGAATAAATGAATCAAAGTGATGCTTCATAGGATAGGACAAAAAAATTCCAACACATTAGTTGAAAGGCAATCATTCTGCTTGTTTAGCTGCAATCAAAATAAGGTAGAGCATATGTATTGCACTGAGACAGTACTGAGAGTCTCAAAAAGAGGTAACTTCCTCACAAAACTGATTCTTAAGTTTTAAGAAAACCACAAAGATTTAAATTTTATAGTATGCAGATCGGAAGTTGCGATGATATTAAGTCAATCCTTCAGTACTCTGAAGAACAGGATCGTTTAACAAATCAGTTTGCAGCTTAAGAATGACTGTTACTGCTCCATACACGTCATTTACAGTCTTAGAAATACTTGTACTACTGTGTATTGCATTAAGTGCACTCAGTGTACAATAGACCTGGACTGACAACTGCAAGAGAATCTTCTAAGAAGTGTTGTAGGAGTTAAGACTACCTGCCCAGTAGATGTTCCAACAGCCATATTCAGAGCTCCATCAAATTTCAGCGCTGAAATAGATGGCAGACAATCCACCCTGCAAAGCACAATTCTTAAAGTTAGATGTTCTCTCTCTAAACAATGCAAAAAATGATGTTAAAAATAGCTAGAATAATAGTGTAAATTATTCAGACATACCACACATAAAGAGTTACTTGATAACTAAGAAAACCTTACACTAGAAATGAGATGGCAGTGGGCACTGTAAGGCCAAGTGGGAACTGTTTTTAGAAAAACTTCTCAAGACAAACAAACAAAAACCACCAGAAGAATGGCCTTTGCAAAGGTAGCCTTTACTCACTCTGTATCTGCTGTCACACTGCTTAAAGCACAATCCAACAGCCCAACTCGATTTCGACTTCTAGGATCCCAGCATTCCACTTTACCCTAAAGAGTTTAGAAAATATATTTTAAGTTTATGCAACAAATATAAGATACACTGAAAGTCTTTAAATAAAATTATGAATTCTTTTTATCTGTGAGTAATAAATCATATTTCCTACAACAAGAGTTGTACTAGTAAAGGCATACAAGCTCCACACATTTCTTGTGTATTTAAAACAATTGTTCTCTGAATCAAAATGGTTAACACTAGATTTCCCAAGTGGGCACACAGGCCTGCTAATTTCAACTGATAGTTACATTCTCAAGCAAGATAACACTGTTTTCTCTCATCTGCAAAATCTCACATATCTCAGCAAGCAAGATATTTCAGAAATTATACCTGCACACCACTCTAAGTCTTCCTGTTTAACAGATCTATACTTAATACAGCAAACAAGATCAAATTAATTACTTAAGTTCCTGTCATGATTCCTTCTTATCCTCACGCAAACTAATACAAAAGAGATACAAACACTGCTGCCCTTTTCATAGAAGGAATGCAAACATTTACCTCAGCTGTCCCTGCAGCAAATAAGTAGTGTACAGGATTGATGTCACAAACATTATTCTCTCTAAAACAGAAAAAAGAACAAGTTTAAAAACTTCAGAATAATGTAACTAAAAAGGTTTCTGTAATCACATATACTGCGGTTCAGTCTGGAAAAGCAAAAGTGGTGAGTGGGGGGAGGGTGTATAAGTGGATGGCAAACTAATAGCAGCTTCCCATACTTAAGGGGAGCTTACCAAGAATTTGGAGCTATCAGAGAAAATCAGAGACAGTGCCGATATCTTGAGATGGGTGAGGTTCCAACTGGATGTAAGGATATTTTTATGTCTTGAGGGCACCTCATCTTTGGAACCGGTTGCCAAAAGAAGCTTTGGAATTTCTATCCTGTCTACAAAAACCCCTGGGAAAACTCATCTGAATTCGGGACTGGCCAAGCTTTGAGCATCAGACTGGGCTGAGGGTCTCTCCAACCTCAGTGATCCTACAGTCTTCTTCCCAAGCCCACCACTTACCACCAAGTCTTGCCATATTGTTCTGCTCCTCTGTATTCTTAACTCAGTTACATCAAAAGGTAATCCTGATTACACCTTTGGAAGCTTACATCTCCCACATATTCTGATGAACAGCCTGTCTACTCTTTCCTGTTCCAAGTACCCTAATTCTCAACTGCTCAAGCCAGAGCCCTGCACTTCTCTAACAACTCTTCCAAAATAGAAATATTTCTCCTTAGACCCCTTATCTCGACTTCTTCTATTCTAAGAATGCTACCTATAATTCTATAATTCATCCAATTCCCCTGCCTTACAGGCTTTCCAAATCTTCAATTCTCATTTCCCTGATTCAGATTTTCACTCATGACTCAGCTCTGCTGCTCCAGGATTTTCCTTCCCTTCCTTCCCCAATGCTACTAGGTGTCTATAGTTGTGCCCACCCAAATACTGCTATGCTCCTTAAGCTATCCGACCCACTGAGCCCCACCTGTGGCGCACCAACCAGTGACTTTGATGAGAAGAAGCTTGTTCTTTTCATCTGCCTCTCCCCACACAAAAGAAGCCCAGCTCCTGCTACTGCTATGGTTTTCAAAAGAATCAAACACATGCTGCTGATATTTAAAAAAAAATCAATCAATCAAACAAACAAAAAAAAACAGCACTCCTTGGGCTACTCCAAGAGTAGAAGGACAAAGACATGTCAGGGAAAGTACATACCCCGTGGGCAGGTTTCTATGTGATGGCTAAATTGAGTTGCAATGGCAAAGTTTGTATTTATTATATATATAAAATAAGTCTATATTAAGCAGTTGTAATTGAGTTCTCTTTGTGGATATTTTAAAGCATAAAAATTGTCACAAAGAATGACAGGACATAAAATTAAATAAAATGAGGTTCAAACTAGGCATACGTTGCTTTTCAATTCTACTTTACTGTGTATTTGGGCAGTATTCAGATACAGTACTGATGGTGAGCATATTAGTAGTTTGGTTCCACCTGGTGGATGGAAGACAGACATCATACATTACAGTTACTTACGAAGCATCAGTTGGCAGGGAGTTCAGAAACCTTCCTTGTTCCAGATTTAGCCTGTATACTTCAGAACTACAAAGAAAAAACCACAATTACTTCTTTCCTATATACTGGAGAAAAGATAATTCTTTGAAAGGGTAGATAGCAGCAGGACAAGGGGAAATGGTTTGAAGTTGAGGGAGGGAAGATTCAGGTTGGATGTCAGGGGGAAATTCTTTACAGAGAGTGGTGAGGTGCTGGAACAGGCTGCCCAGAGAGGCTGTGGATGCCCCGTCCCTGGAGCTGTTCAAGGCCAGGTTGGATGGGGCCCTGGGCAGCCTGGTCTGGTATTAAATGGGAAGGCTGGTGGCCCTGCATGTGGTAGGGGAGTTAGAGCTTCATGATCCTTGAGGTCCCATCCAACCGTGGCCATTCTGTGATTCTGTGATAATGTGTATGTTCATCAAACATCACAGAATAGCTTCATAGAATCCTTAGTGTTCAAAGGGACCACCCAAGGCCATCTAGTCCTACTCCCTTGCAATGAATAGGGACACCACAGCTAGCTCAGGCTGTCGAGGGAGGGCCTTCTCCAGCTTCACCCTGAAAGCCTCCACAAAAACCTATTTTATTTTCCTTGCTATTCATCACTTTTAAAACACAGTACACTGAATTGCACTGCTGACAACAAATTTACAAGTGCCTCAATCAAAAAATAAAAGTCTTAATGCAGGAAACTGAATTAATTTTGGACTTTAGTTCTTGGAAAAAATTCCTGACAGAAGTAAAACAAAATAATCCATTCAAACACTACCTTGATCCAACAAAATACAGGTCACATGATGGGTAGTGATAAGAGAAGTCTCTACCAAATTTTGGTATTCTTGTCCTGTAGTAATGTCCGTGTTGTGAATGAAACTCCACATATCTGTCACACTGCAAGAAGACAATCTGAAAATAAAATAGATAGAACTGAAATACAGAAGATAGAACTTGCCTCAGAAAACAAGCAGTGATTTTTCCAGGCTCGCATCAGTCTATCACAATCCACTTAAATACTTCCTACTAAAATGACAGAATTCATTCTTTATTCTCATTAGCCACAGCAATCTCTTTATTAAAGATAAAATGAAGGCACTAGAAAGCTAGATCGACATAGTAAATAACATAGCAAAACTCATATACATATAAATGAATTCCCATCACATTCATGCAGTACCTTAAGCCTTGCCCAGATACTACGGGATGCATTAAGCATCACTCTGGCCCAAAATCACTCTATGATGAAGGTAAACAATGACATGGATAATTACAGGTCAATAACTCACTCTAACGCTCAACTCTCTTTAGATTAGACTAGAGAGATGCCAGTTTAGAATGTGTGTAGCTGTATATCTTCACACAATAGTAAATCACTGAGATTCTAAATCTCCCCCTGTTGCACTATGCTGCTATCTACATGAACAGTGAGCAGCTCAGGAAAGACAAAGTACAGTGGTTGTTTTGAAGTCATGTTTATTTACACTTTCTCCCTTTCCATGAGGTACATACAAAGCACTGACCTGGGTGACTACTTTATGCCTATTCAAGTCCTCTCTGTACTTCCCATTTTTCTAATTTCAGAAACTCTAGTGTTTCAACTTTTATTCAAGGGCTCACTCTCTTGAGATCCAGGATGAAAGTCAGGCATCACTTTTCACAAGTAATAATCACTATTTCATACAAGATCACAGATGCAGCTGCACAGCTGATGTTATACAATGATGTTTTTCATACACAGCCTAATCTGCCCTTTGTGTGCTTAACTTCTTTATGTTTTTAACAGGTTTACAACAAGCAAAGCTTTTTACTTCATTGTTTCAAACAATAACAACATCAAGTATTTTGTGATTTTGCAGTGACAATATTGAAATTTCTGCGTCTTCATGTAGTTTAGAAGAAATCATGAGAACACAAAATTAAACCACATTTAACTGAAATTATCAGTATCACCTTGCTAGTTCACTATCAGTAAGCTATCAAGAAACTTTCTACCAGGAATAAGGAAGATACAGTTTGCTGAGTTCTCTTTTACTACCTCCAAAAAGACTTTATTTTCTAGTAGTTGACAAAAACAACTAAAGACAAACAAAAGCAGATATTCTGCTAACAACTATGTTACCTCTAGTAATTTTATGTCTTAAGCTACTTGAAGACAATTATGTTCTCTTTTATTAGAAAAGGATACAACTCAACTAGAAATCATGCTTGTTTTTCCTTCGTAATAATTAACTCTGAAAACCACAAGGTTGGGGTAGCAAAAGCATAGCCACTGGTGTGTGGTAAAAAAAAGACAGAGGAAACACTTGCCATTTTGGAAAAGGCTACAGTAGAAGACACACCACTCTCCCCTAAATCTAAAACTTAGTCCACGTCTAAATCTTGAGAGAGTGCAGAAACATAACTGACTTTACAGCTACAGACATGAGCAAAAGTGAACAGCATGTTCTGTGGAAACACAAATGAGCCTCAAAATGATACCTGACAAGGTTAGTGGGAGCAGACCGGGGAGGATATATTTTCATTTTTCTGCACAGTGCCCATGAAGCACTGTATCTAGAGCAGGGGCTCTCAATTCACGAGGAATGCTGAGAACATCAACAAAGCCAAGCCAGATAACGGATGAATCCGAGTTTGTTAGTGAGGCAAAGAGGACACTATGCAACAATCTAGAGGCAGCCTACAACTGAAATGCAGTTACAAAAATGACAGTCAAACTCACTGCAGTAGCAAAAATTTCAGGTTTGGGCAGGCTGGACAAGAAGGAAGAATTCTTTAGGAGGTGATCACAGAGCACTGGTCTTATATCGTGCAGGAAATGAACCCTCGATGTCTCCTTGTAAGGAATATTTTTACGATTCTAATCATTTCAAGTGCAGTTTCTCAAATATTGTTCCCTCTGTGTCAGATTTAAAATATTATAACTTTCTGAAATCAGTTTTCTTTCTAACAATTTAGGATGTTTTTGGAAAATACAATTGAAGATAACGTTGTCAAGGTTCAGTTTGAAATGCAGTACCAATTCAAGTTCAAAACACACTTAAGCCTTATTGTTTGCTTGACCAGTCAGAGATGGGTGAACAATGAGAATACACTCCTCAGCCTTGCAAATAATTGCTTGGTCTTTACAACCAGAAGCAGGAGGCTACCCTACTATATCAGTCACTTCCTTCTTCCATTGAGTTCCACATTCCTGGAAAACTTGTAAGGGAAAACTTTGAAAAGCCTAGAGCCAGAAGGTGAGATAATGTGTGTGAAAGTATAAGACAAACCTGTATCAGTAATGCTAAAGTCTCTGAGGAAAAAAAAATACAATAAAAATTCAACTATTAACATGCTGTGTTCTAATGAAACCAGCAAAATTATGTGCTTAGACTTCCATATTTCATTTTAGACTGAATACTCTGATGAATCAGCAAAGTTTATAGGAACAGGTAACATCTTTTATCACACCAGGTGCTGCAGCACAAGATTTTGAGCCTGTTTCTGAGGGCCCTCAACAGAATTAGGAGTAATAATTGTACTGAGCCTGAAAAAGGCTCACAGTTGTAATAACTCAACTGTTTCCTCCAGATACAGCAACTCATAAACAAAACATGTTCCTTCTCTCCACAATTTCTGCCTCATTTATACACTTAGTTATCACTGCTGCAGCAAATCAGCCTAACTCAGCTGTAGGTACCCCATTTCTCAAAAAAGGTGCATGTTGGCTACTGTCAGCAATTATAACCAAATGTTACACTAGCAAGAACAACTAATTATGTTTTTCACATTAGTTTGATCACAGGATAGCTGACTATTTGGAGCTTTTCTCTACTGCAGACAAAAGACTTTACAAGTGGTAAGGCAAATTACAGTACAAAGAGGCAAAGAAAACAATGCTTTAAAGGTACAAAAAAATATTTATCCTGTTTGTTTTTAAATAAAAAACTTTACTATATATGAAAATGTATTTTAATATAGATATTACACAATTTTCTCATTTATACATTGAAAACATTAAACATACCTTTGAGTAATCATCTGATAAAATCTCAAATGTAACCACTAGAGGAGAGAACAAGAGAAGTTTAAGTTAACTAAGTAAGCAAATTTATTTGCAAACACTGGCACAAACCCTGAAAATAATATTTACTCTGATGCTAACCTTTAGCCATATAAGTATTCCCCACAGGTGTCAATGCATAACGCAGACATCGTGATAAAATCTTTAATTAGACAACATTATTTGCAAAATAATAAGTCACTTAAGAAAACCTTAGAAATTTATGAAGCAACTTATAATCTTTTTATCATTCTTCTATACTTGACATGCTCCTCAATGCAGTGCTCAAACGTGTATTTAGGAAGGTCTGATCAAATGCTTCTCAGTGAGTGGGTGGTCCACAGTGAACCATCAAAGATGATAAGAATACCAGGGGATCTAATGTACTACACACACATCACAGAATCACAGAATCACAGAATTGTAGGGGTTGGAAGGGACCTCCAGAGATCATCGAGTCCAACCCCCCTGCCAAAGCAGGTTCCCTACAGCAGGTCGCACAGGTCGGCATCCAGGCAGGTCTTGAACATCTCCAGAGAAGGAGACTCCACCACCTCCCTGGGCAGCCTGTTCCAGTGCTCCGTCACCTCACTGTAAAGAAGTTCTTGCGCACATTTGTGCAGAACTTCTTCAGACACAGCCTTTCTAACTTTCAGCTTCCAGAGATTGAGCTTTGAGGGGCCCATAATCACAAACACAGAGGCTACTGATCAGTATGCTGAGGTGTTCAACAGAGACTCCAATTAGCTTTAAATAAGGCGAGTCCGGAACATTAGGGAGAAGCTGCTTCGCCTGAACTGTTTCCAATTAAATAAGGTAGGTTATTTAAGGTGACTCTGTGATACAGTGCAAGTTAAACACATTTAAAAACCTTGCAACAAGAAGCCAGTCCAAAAAAAATTAACTTTGAGCTCTAATTAACAGCAAGCATTTACTATTACAATGACTCATATTCTGTTTCAAAGTGGGTCTCTCATGCCACGCCTTTCTTTCCCCAGCCTTCCTGCCTCTCCCTCCTCATACTACTTGGTAGCACTGTCTCTACACCATACAAGATTCCTTGCAGTACTAAGGAATCAAATAACAAAACACCACTAAGCTCTATTTCTCTTTTCCTGACCTAATTCAATAGCTTCATTCTTTTTTGCTTTTTTTTTTACATAGCATATCAAAAATAGACCAGTTCCATTTCTCACTAATGATTCAATCTTGCACTATTCTGTGCTTTCTGTGCTCAGCCCCTCAGTTTCATTCACCTGTCTTCTGCCATTAGTCTCCAAAGAACAAAACCAAAATAAACCCCCAACTCTATAGATCCCAAAACCTCCTCCCTCAGTCTAATTTCCAACACATTCTCTCTTTCTCAGAGCCTGGATGGCTCCTTGCTCTCATCACTACAAAAGTTCTCCCTCCAAAATACTAGCAAACAATGTGAAATTGGGGCCTTTCCTATGTCTAATAATAATAATAACAATAATAAAGAAATATACAAAACAAATCAAGGAGTTCTCTTTAACTGACTGGGCTGCAGTGAGAAAACAAAAGAACTCATTTCAGTAAGAACGGAGCAACCCCAGAGCATCTTCTACCTTACTGCTTCAGAGTGGGAAGACAACAGAAGGGAGAATTGCCTGCTGTAGCTCTCTCTCTTTCTCTCTCTTTTTCTCTCTCTCTCCCCCTCGCTCTCTCCCTCTGACACACACAGCACTCTTCCTGTGAGAGCAGCAGCCTTCAGCCATGTCTCTCTCTGAGCTCCACACTTAATGGCTCAGAGCAGATCTTACTGTCTTCATACAGCTCCAAGAGAGGAAAGAACTTTACAGAAAAAAGAAGGAAAAATACAGAGGTGAAGACTGGTGAATTTTATTCTAGATTCCTCTGTTCCCCCAACATATAATCTGTCCCCTTAGAACAGGGAAATAAATTTCTGTTTGAGTCCAACCTGAACTGTAGACAAAAGATTTCTCCTACTAACAGCCACAGCTTATACTAACCTTCAGAATCTAAGCACCTTTCAAACTTCTGGGATAACTGGTAAGTATCGTAACAGCGGATCCTCGGTTTGTAAGTTCCTGAAAGAAGAATTTGATTTTTAACAAAACAATTGAACAAAAAGATAACACTAACACGTTTTTTTAAAAATAGAATGTTTTATGTATACATTCTTTACTACTACTATGTTTCTGTGAATGGAGAAAGAGGCTTCTTAGTAAAAGAACTTAACAACACCTTCCAGCGAGTGTGAAAGACCAAGCCCAAATTAAATGCTTCTCAACTTAAGTTCCAAGACAATCATTGCATCGCATCTTAAAACTAGGCTTCCACGATAATGTTCAATGCTGCATTAAAGAAATAAAACAAAAACACCCTCCATCTTCTACCTGTCATATTCTGTGATAAAACATTACTGGTACTTTTGGCCTCTGCTACCAAGGGATCCTTAGTTAACTCACCAACTGCCATAATATACTGTCCATCTCTTGATACCTTAATCTTGGTGCTAACTGTGGGCATTTCAAAGTCTTGAATAAGTTCAATTCTTCTACGGATATCTACAAAGAAAAAAGAAATACTCATAAAGAAAAGTTATTTGTAAAGCTAGTACTATTATTATCAGTCCAATACTGTAATGATTTCTTATGAAAGTATGTAAAGTTCACTGAATAAAACTGAATATTTTTAAAGGTATATCTTTGTCTTTAACACAGGCCAGGAGAGCAATGCAGTACTCTAACGCTGAGAAGCCAGCTATCATCACCACACCAAACAGATCTCTCACGAGGCGCTAACCATGTGACAAATTATAACAGGCATTCATAAAAGGTGACATATTCTACACAGCAAAGATGCATAACACATTCCATCAGACTGTTACCTCCATGCATATTTTTTAGTTGGCTGCTTTACACAATGCTCATGATGGTATGTAAATATTTCCTCTGATATTACAAATTTAGAGTAAAATTGAAAGGTTGAGGGAACTGGGCTTGCTTAGGGTGGAGAAGAGAAGGCTCCAGGGGAAACCTCATCATGGCCTTCCTGTACTTGAAGTAGACATATAAACAGGAGGGGGAACAACTGTTTACATGGGTTGACACTGATAGGACAAGGGGGAATGGTTTTAAACTGAGATAGAGGAGATTTAGATTAGATATTAGGAGGAAGTTTTTCACACAGAGGGTGGTGATGCACTGGAACAGGTTGCCCAAGGAGGTTGTGGATGCCCCATTCCTGGAGGCATTCAAGGCCAGGCTGGATGTGGCTCTGGGCAGCCTGGTCTTATGGCTGGTGACCTGTCCACAGCAGAGGGGTTGAAACTAGATGATCATTGTGGTCCTTTTCAACCCAGGCCATTCTATGATAATGATATGATAAATCACAAAGCTGGACTCTAAGCTGAGCTTAATAAATATACAGGGGTCTATAGCTAGATTTGATCATAAATATATGATGGATGCATCCACCACACTTGTGTACAATCTACCATCTCCCAGTATTTAATGCCTAAAAATTATGCTGGCAATGTTCTATCCACACAGCACTACACAGGAAACTAAAGTATGGCCTTCTAGCATTACGTATAGCTTTAAATTTGCATTTATGAAAACAAGTTGTGCACAATTTCCTTGTGTTAGCAAACTGCCTACTTCTGGAGTGGCAGATCAGATGTGTACAGCCTCATTCTGCTGAGGGCTGCGATGGGAAAACTCACCCACATCTTTCTTCTGTAATGCTCTTTTCTTCCTGTCTGAGAGCCACTGTAAGGAAACATATCAGTATTCACATTACAGCACATCTGCAAAATCACAGAACTGTTACAATCTAACAAATCTGAAAAAAAAAGGTGTTTTTTTTTTTTTTTTTTCTGCCTGAAACATCACTTCTTTCTCCTTTATTGCATTCAAAATTCCAGTAGTACGCTCTGAGGTCCCTTCCAACCCAACCACCCTGTGACCCTACGAAAAAGAAGTCCGCAGAGCAGCTCGGCTCAAACGCCCGCCAGCTGAGGAGGCGCCCACGCGTCCTGCCCGCCCCCTCACGGCTCCGTCCCACCCGAGCTGCCCCTCACCTCCGGGAGGCTCCTGCCGGCGCTCAGGCTGTAAATCTTCACCTCGTTCAGGCTGGAGACTTGCATGGCGAGCCCACACACCTCTTCCGGGCCGCAGGGGAAGCGGAAGGCAGGCTCGGCTCCGACCCGGCAGCAGTGTGCGGTGTACGGGCGGGGCTCCGGCTCCGGCAGTTTCCCGTTCCTGGACGGCGCCGAGCGTCGGCGGGCAGCGGGCCGGGGGTTGGGAGGGAGCTGTTAGGTAAAATCGCGTTCTGCAATGTTAAGGCTTAAAGGCCGCTGCATGATGCTATTTCAGGCGGGGTTCGGGCTGAAATCACAGAGTAGGAAGGAGCTGCTTGGGCAGACGTGGCTGAGGGGGTTCGTTTTGTTGCCTCACACAAATCCTGGGAATCACTGCAGAATCGGGTTGGGCGGCATCCTTTGCAAACATAAAAAGTGGGACGCCGTTTAAATTCTATGTAGAATCTCTTTAAACATGGATCACAGAATTATAGGGGTTGGAGGGGACCTCTGGCGATCACCCAGCCCAGCCCTGCTGAGCAGGTTCCCCACCACAGGCTGCGACAGGGACACCTGGGGTTAGAAGAGCATCAGGCCATGCCTATTCTGACTTAAAAGAGCAGCAACAAATAAAATACGATATTTTTCCACTCTGTGAATGTTTTTGCATACTACTAAATGTCACAGCTTTTCCCCCATGATAGTACACAGCTGGTGTAAGAGCTAACCAAAACCGTATCAAGTCTTAATACAGAATTCCTTGCATTGAATCATTTAATCATTAAGGTTGGAAAAGATCGCTAAGATTGTCTGGTGCAGTCGTCAGCCCAGGCCCACCATGCCCACTGACCACATCCCTCTGTGCCATGTCCACCATTCTGAGCACCTCCAGGGTTGGTGACTCCACCACCTCCCTGGGCAGCCTGTGCCAGTGCCTCACCACTCTTTCTGAGCTGTTTCCTAATATCCAACCCTGAACCTCCCCTGGTACAACTTTAGACCATTGCCTCTCATCCTATTTCTGTTACTTGATAGAAAAGGCCAACCCCACCTCACAACAACCTCCTTTCAGTTGACTGTAGAGAGCAATAATGTTTCCTGAGCCTCCTCTTGTGCAGACTGAACAATCCCAGTTCCCTCATCCGTTCCCCATAAGACTTGTGCTCCAGACTCTTTACAGCTTTGCTGCCCTTCTCTGAACACGCTCCAGGGCCTTCATGTCTTTCTTGATGTTTTTTATTATGTATTTCATCAATGATAATACCAATATCGCCACTTTGTGCTTTGCATTAAAGGGTGCCATAGCTGAGACTCAGACACCTAATGTATGTGTCTACGTGGGTACTAGATGTCAAAGCTCCCATTTCAGGGAGCTAAGGCTTCACTCACCTAAATGTAGATTGTCTGGTGGCATTTGAGCTGCCATGGTATCCAGGACACCTAGATGAGGTGACACAAGACCTGTGGAAAACCCATGTGCTATGCGGCGTGAGCTGGAGGACATCTCAAATGGCACTAGAAGCTGAGGCAGCTGAATTGCATACCTAGTTAATGCCAGTAATGAAGCCTGAGGAGCAGTGTGGCACAGTAGCCACCTAGCGTCTTCTTCGGGGTGAATTCAATCTGTTTCTAAGTTCTACCATCTCATTCCTTAGACTGTCACTAACTGTTAACAGACATTTAAAGCTGAATCCATTTACTCACATATAGATGCCCCTTTCAGTTCAGGACACCTCAAGGAATCCCAGACATCCTCCCCAAGTTGTTTGGTATGACACAAGGATGCCTCAGAAAATGTAAGACAAGATCAGGAGGACTGAAACGATGAAAAATTCCCAGAGGTTTAAAACCCATGAGGTTCTGACATGCTAAGGAGATACGTGACTATAGGTGAGAACGCCCAAAGATTCTGATCCCTTCTTCAGTACTCTAGGTGTATTTCAATGACCACAGAACAGAAAAAGAGGAATAAAATACCTCTGCACTGCAGAAAATAAAATTGTATTTCAAGATTCTTTATATTTATTTATTTATTTATTTAGACATATTTAGCTCTTGGGCAAAGTGGATAAATCCAAGCCTGGCACAGCATACATTTAAAACTTTTTGTTTTTTAAAGAAAATTTATAGGGAAAATATCAGCTAGGACCTGGACTATTGAAGTTCTAGTGCAGATAACTTTAGAGCAGCCAGATTTCCTTGTTACACTCACACAGGTAAGTTACAAAAAAATCTGGATTGGAATGATGCAATTGAAGCTTTGATGAAGCTTTTTGCTTCAAACATGCCCCAAATATCTGTTGCATGCAAAAATAACACTTTTAGATTTCCAATTCAAGTAAATAGAGTTGAGCAGCTAGGTGTATGGACTTCAAATAAGTGTGATACAGAACATGGTTTTGCCTGCTTTTCCTCTTTTTATAGTATGAGGATTTGCTATGCATGTTCCCTTGCGACATGCATGATACAGTGTTTTGAAACAACATTATGGTAAGCAAAGTGGAAGAAATCTTTACTGGCTTTAATGGTAACTAGACAACATTCATTCATGTACACACATGCATGCAGCTAAGGAATTCTAACAGAGAAATAATTTGCATGCTAAACTTACATGCTTAAAAGTACACCAAAACTGTTTTCAATTAAATAACAATATTTTATAGAACCACAGAGTGGACAGATTGGAAGGGACCATAAAGATCATCATTATTAGCCATGATCAAGTCATGTTAGGAGTTCCTTCACTGAGCTGTTTTAGACTTCTGCATATGTTACTGCAGTAATACACTTGCATGAATAGGAAATGGGATTTTTAAAGATTCTTCTGAAGCACAGCGGAAAAAATAGGCATTAATGGATAATGCTTGTAACATAGTAGTTGTACAAATCGTTTTATTGAGAACTGCAGCTCTGAGGTTGCTGTTTTGTAAGCTAACATATGCTTTCCCATTAATGTCAATGTCATAATTGTATGGGTAATTAAGTCTGATTATTTGTTAGAGAAATTTGCCTCCAGAGATACTTCAGATAGGGTATTAATGCTTTTAATGGCTGCTTGGAGGCTGTGCTTTGCACATTACTGTGACAGAGGAAGGAGTACTCATAAACACAGAGAAAGGCAAAGCCACAGAAAGCTTCCTTGCGGTGACACATCAAAGGGAGCAGGGAGGCACGTGGTGATCACAAGGGAATTAAGCAGCTTGGTGATCACACGGTACAGCACTCAGTGCAGCTGAGGAAGTAGCAGGGGCACAGGAGCTGCCACAGCTCAATTACCACCAGTGAGCAGCACACAGACATATCCCATCAAAGGGGCTCAATGATCCTGCCAACCTCTCTTCATCCAGGCCTCCTCCAACCTCTCTTCATCCAGGCCTAAAAATGTGTAATGGGGAAAAAGGATTAAAAAGTCAGAATAAAACCAGAAAACTTGATAATAGAAAATGATAGGACTTTATTTACACATTAATATCATGCTTCCTCGATAATTTTCAATTAAAATAACAAATTAAGTAGTATAATAGTTGTCACTATAATAAAAGTAAACATGGCAAATTACTCCTATTGAAAAAATGAGAATCAAAAGTGACGTTGGTACAATAAAAATGTTTAGAAAGAAAATGGCGTATATTGCAGAATCCAGCAATCTGACAACCCTTCAGCTTGGATTTTACATTCTTCACTACAAGTGCTATCAGATGGCACAATTCTAAATTTAAGAAGCTTCTGGGAACATAATTTTTGTGGAAATAATCACGTGAAGCATTTCCACATCTTTAGACTGCAGCAAGGATTCACGGCAGCTCTGTATGTGATCTGAGATGGGCAAGCTCTGCTTTACCTTGCTGATGAGGCTATGAGGCTTACTGCACCTTTCAGATCACAAGGCTGTAAATTTGAATTACGTCATGTACATAAACTAACTTTTATTTTCATTATTAAAATGTAGCCTTATAAAAAAAAAAAAAAGTGGGGTGGGGGGGAAGAGGGAAAGAAGATTAAACAGTGATCCCCATTACTATGAATGTCTCCAGACACCTGGGTAGTTCTTTTGTATAGCTTCACTAAAGTCCTTCTGCTGTGCCCATGGGAACACCGTGGCTGAAAACAAACAAACAAACAAAAAAAAACAACCAACAGAATAGAATCATAGGATTAAGGTTGGAAAGATCCACTAGAAACATCTAGTCCAACCATTAACCCTGCTCACTGACCACATCCCTCAGTGCCACATCTCCATGGTTCTTGAACACCTCCATGGACAGTGATGCCACCACCTCCCTGGGCAGCCTGTGCCAGTGCCTCACCACTCTTTCTGGCAATAAATATTTCCTAAACCCAACCCAAACCTCCCCTGATACAACTTAAGACCATTACCTCTCATTCTATAGCTGTTACCTGGGAGAAGAGGTTGACACCCACCTCAGTAATCATAGAATCATAGAATCACAGAATCATAGAATCATAGAATGACAAGGTTGGAAAGGACCTACAAGATCATCCAGTCCAACCGTCCTCCCACTACCATTGCTACCATAAGCACTAAACCATATCTTGCAGCTCCTCATCCAGACGCCTCTTGAACACTGCCAGGGACGGCGACTCCACCACCTCCCTGGGCAGCCATTCCAGTCCTGACCACTCTCTGAGAGGAAAAGTTCTTCCTCATGTCCAACCTAAACTTCCTGTGGCACAACTTGCGGCCATTTCCTCGGGTCCTGTTTGCTGCCTGGGAGAAGAGGCCAAACCCCTCCTCACCACAGCCTCCCTTCAGGAAGTTGTACAGTGCAATGCGGTCTCCCCTGAGCCTCCTCTTCTCCAGACTGAACAATCCCAGCTCCCTCAGCCGCTCCTCACAAGCCCTGTGCTCCAGACCCCTCACCAGTTTCGTTGCCTTTCTCTGGACACGTTCCAGGGCCTCAATGTCTTTCTTGCAGTGAGGGGCCCAAAACTGAACACAGCACTCGAGGTGCGGCCTCACCAGTGCTGAGTACAGGGGATGATCACCTCCCTGCTCCTGCTGGCCACACTATTTCTAATGCAGGCCAGGATGCTGTTGGCCTCCTTGGCCACCTGGGCACACTGTCAGCTCATGTTCAGCCGAGCATCAACCAACACCCCCAGGTCCCTTTCCTCTTCACAGTCATAATAAACCAAAATAAGCAAGCGGATAAATTGAAACAGTGATTATTTCAACCAGAAGTCTTCTTTGTGTCTCTTCATGGGGAGCTTTGAGTAGAGACTTTCCTCATCTATATAACTATTTTAAGTCTCAGTAAAAATGTTAAAGAGAAGCAAAGGAAGATAGATGTACAGTGTATCTTGCCTGAACTTAGAGTCCAAGAATTAACCTTTCCATTAGCAATGTGATGCAGGAACAGGTCTATCCAAGTCCAAGGCTGTGAATGAGGACATCTTCCATCAGCTGCTTCAGCCTTATGCTGGAGTCACTCTAGCATTACTCCTTTGGGGTCTTATGACATGCATCCCAGGATCCTGAAGGAGCTGGCTGATGTGGTTGCCAGCATGGCTTCACATGTTAAGGGACAGGAGGGATGAGCAAGAGCCTTGAGACAGCCAGCATGGCTTCACTGAAGGCAGACCATGCCTGACCAATCTGGTGGCCTTCTAAAACGGGGTGATGGCATTGATGGACAAAGGAAGGGCAACTGATACCACCTGCCCAGACTTGTGCAAGGCTTTTGATGTGGTCCCGCACCACGTCCTTGTCTCTAAGTTGAAGCGATATGGATTTGAAGGCTGGATCATTAAGTGAATAAAGAATTGGTTGGAGGGTCATAGCCAAAGGGTTGCTGTCAACGGCTCTAAGTCCAGCTGGAGGCCGGTCATAAGCAGTGTCACTCAGGGATCTGTCTTGGGACCGGCATTCTTCAATATCTGTCATATTGCGTAGATAGGATCGAGTGCACCCTCAGCCAGTTTGCAGACAACACCAAGCTGAGTGGTGCAGTTGAGAATACAGAAGGGAAAGACACCAACCATCCTCTCAGTTTAGGACACCTGTGTGTGTGTGGGGGGGGTGATTGGAGCATTGCCCACCAGGTAGCATAGCAAGCAGCTGCACGAGCCGAACCAGCTTGAGCGCGATACCCCCGCCGCCCCGGGCCGCACTCCACACCCCGCTGCTCCGCGGCCGCCCCGCCCCGAGCGCCGCCCCGCCCCGAGCGCCTCCCCGAGCCCGGCCGTCCCCGCCCCGCCGCAGGGAGCCACCGCTGTGCGGGGCAGCGGCCGCTGCGGGGCGAGCGCTCGCTCTCCGAGTTTCCCGTTCCGTGCGGCGGGGAGTAAGGCGTGCGAGGCGGGACGGGACGGGTCCGGGAGAGCCTTTGGGTGGAAGAGCTGGAGCGTGGTTCCGCTGCTTGCTGTCCTGCCCTCATCTGTTTGCTTAGCACCAGCGCAGCTGTCACGCGTGGATTTGCGCCATCGTTTGCTTTGTGTATATTGTCCTGCTGAGAGCATCTCTCCTCCGGTCCTTGCTACCCAACCTGGAAATTAAAACACAGGGAAAGTGATATTCCGTCAGGCATCTCCTGCAGCCTGTAAGTTCAGAAGACCTACGTCTTGCTTGCACTTTTGCCCAAATATTTGAGTGTTGATATTGGTCAAACAGAAGTCCTTAATTACATCCTTGTGACTGGAGTCTGCCTGGCAATGGGGATCACGATGGAGCCTGGTGATGGGGACTGAACTGGGTGCTAAAGGATGGGGAAGGGAGGGGGGAGAGGGAAGGGGGAGGAGAGAACTTTGGTTCTTCATTCGGAAACTGGATGGAACAACCCTGAGAAAGGAGGAACTGCTGCGCTGTGTGTGTGACATTGTGGAGAAGGTCATGTTCCATTTCAGGCTGAGACAGGAGTGACTCACTGTAATTATGCCACCAAAAGATCAGTAATCCACTCCAACTTTTTTGGTTCTTAGGGAAGAACACATTCTACACAGTACTTTTTTTAGCCTCTTACCTGCTCTGTGTTTCTACAGTGATCAGGAGTGAAGGGAAAGTACTGGATCATGTCGGAGTTCTGGCTGATTTCTGCCCCAGGAGATAAAACAAACCTGCAGGCATGGGAGAGAATGAATACGGTGACATCCAAATCCAACCTGTCCAGCAACAGCAAATTCCATATTCCAGACTTAAAGGTAAGTGAGGAGAGGGTTTGGGTATGGGTGACAAAACATCCCCAGCCAGGACTAAGGATTACTGGGATAAACATGAGATTTGTCATTTCAGAGAGCTGAAAAAGATTGCGATGGGGGGTGAGCTGTGTTCAGTCTACTGAAAACCGATTGAGGAGAGACAAGAGTCATTTTGCTTGAAGATGACTTTCATGTGGGAAGGATACATGTGTAAGGAGTGAAGGTGACCGGTTAAATACAATGTATTGCATCTGCTGTACAGTTTGCTTCCAGTCATAAAAGTCACACGGCATTGTACATCTCAAATTGCTAATGCATGGGGAGCAGCTCAGTATCTAGAAGTATTCCAGTGAGACCACTGACAGAGCAGACAGTTCTATATAATGCACATTACTCTGTAGGAAATGGATGTGCATATATTCAGCTGTATTACTGGCTGTATAGCCTCATATCAGTAAGAACATTTATTCGTGACTTTTTTTTTTAAATATATCTTTGCCTTCTTCAATCCTTTCATAAGATCTGCACTTAATTTTTATTTCATTTGCATCTGTCAGAAGTCTAAATATGCTTCACTGAAGTCAGTGGAGCTGCAACAGATGCAGTACTTGGTTCCTTGGGGAGCTGCCATCACCCATCTCAAAGCTACACATGGTGCAGCCAGGGTCTGGCTTCAGTCCACAAAGTTTCTTAAGTTATGGCTTGAGCTGTTCCAGTTACTTAAGGATGCAAGTGAAAGGGGAGCATTGCCTTTTCTGAAGTGATAACATGCTGAAGTAGCACAAGATGCTGCAGACTGCACATGCTGCTTTTTACACATGCACCTGAGATTGCTGTGATTTTAGCATCTGAGTGCCACCAGCACTGGTGTGAGTCCATTAATGCTGGGGGAAACAAAGTATTGACATCATCTGACCATACAGCAGTTCTCTGCGTTCTGCTAATTGTTCTGTGCAAGACTTGTTTCTTCTCCGGTACTCCTTCAGCCTGACCCTTTGTAATGTTGAGCTGGCAACGTCACAAGAAGAGGTTTGGCAATGTATTGCAATACCATAAACATAGAACTATGACTGTGACAGAGTCATGCAAAAAGCAGATGTTGGTCTTGGGAAAATGGTGTCCTTGAGAGGCTTAGTCCTTGGCAATAGGAAAGAATGCAGAGACCCTCTTTTGAGTACACTCTGCTTCCCTTGGTTCTCTTAGTACATTAGATTTGTTTTGTATGCATGCTGCATGCATTTCTACTCATTATTTTGTTAGGTAAAAGTCTGTGCTACTCAATGATTCAGGAATGAAAACGGGAAGGAAGACATTGATGCTTGATCTTGAGACATCATATACACTTTTTCCCTTATTGGAAAAGGCTTTTTGTGCCTGGGTCTTGAGAAAAGGAGTTGCTTTATTATCCACTGGCTGAATAATGTTCTGCAGAACTGTTGAATTAGCAAATCAAAGTCCCTAAGACTGCTGACAGAAGCCTTGGACATGTGCATCTCTCACCTGCTTCTCATCTTTTGTACAGGTGGGGACACTGGATGCTCTTGTTGGTCTGTCAGATGAGTTGGGAAAACTTGATACCTGTGCTGAAAGGTAAAATAGGTCTTATTTACTACCTACAAATGAGGAATAGACATTGTTTTTATGGGATGGTGTGTCCTTGTATTCACCTCAGAGTTGGTTTAACCAAGGCTACAACTGGACTGAAGTGGGTGGGTTTGTGTTGTGGTTTAATCCTTGTGTCAGTTGCCACAGAATCATCACAAGGAAGAGGCCATTCCTTAAAACCTGGCTGAATGGAGACAGTGTCAGTTCTGTCTGAACAGTGATGCCTGAGTGGCTGTTTTCAAGGAGAGCTGTTCTCAAAGGGGATGTGATTTTTTTTTGTATTTTTGAAGAGCAGCCTTCCCCTCCATCCAGAAACTCAAATTAATGAAGCAGTATTTAGAGAATATGAAGCCCTCTCCGCTTTTCTTTTTCCCAGAATATTTTTCTTGATATTTTTTAACCAGATATAGGAGTTGTAAGGAGATACAAGGAATAAATTTTTCTGAATGAAATCAGGTACTCTTCCTCTGTCCAACTCCTGGAAAGCCACAATATTGACTGGCCATTATGTCAAACCCATTTATGCAGGGAGACTCACATGATCTCCTTGCTGATCTCTGCCAAGTTTGCCTTTTAGGCCAAGATGACCTGGGTGGACAAAGAGTAATAGAGTACAGGATGCTAAGGAAATGCCAGGTTTTAGGATACTTTATGGCACAAAGTGGTCTGTATTGATGAAACTTTTTTTTTTTGCTTTGGAGGCAAACCTCACATACAGCTGTGGCCACGTCAGCTCTGGGGCTTTTTGCCTTTTTTCCCCTAGCCAGGCCTAGTGAGAAGCTGCCTGTCTGAACATGCTTTGTGCTTTCATAGATTGTTTGGTGGGTGCAAACGCATACGGAGATCCTGATATAAGCTCTTCAAACCTGTGTTAGGCAGTTTGCATAAAAGTAGGTCTGCCAGAATACGTTTCTCCCTAGCATAGTTTTCTGACTTTACTGGTACCACAGTGGGGCTGAAATAGGATGATAACATTTGATCACTGGGTTGAACACAATGTTGATCTTTTCAGAATTGGTTTTTCAGAATATTTAGCAGCACAGAGCAGCTTAATACTTAATCAGTAAGATTGTCTCTATCGTGACTCTGCCCATCTGGTAGGGAAACCTGCCCCACAGTCTTTGTAAATGTGTTCATACAGCAGATTGTTCCTGCTGGAGTGAAAAGGAAATTGGAGTCAGTCTGGGATGAGATAGTGCCAATGCCATCTATCTATTCCAGTGCAGAGTCAGAAAGCTGCTTAGGGCAGCAGCTGGCCAAGCAACTGAGAGATCTGAGTTTGAAGGATACGGGAATCATGCAGAGTGATTTTTGGGAGGGCTTGGCTAATTCCCACTTCTGCAAAACCTGCTGTGGCGTCCGTGTAAGATCACTGAGGGGAGTTTTAGGTGACGTGTTCCCACTGTTACCTTTGTCTTAACTCGCCAAGGTGGTACACAGTTCCTTGTTCAAGCTGAATGCCACTTCACTCGTTAATTGTCCTGTCAGTGACAGCAGTGGCGCTTACCATGTGACATGATGTATGCACTGAGCAAAAGAGTCAGTGAGGCTTTTACACAGTGAGCTGTTGGGTATGGACTCCTCCTATTTGTCCTCTTTGTTTGTAAAACTAACTGATCAAAAAGGATCAATGAGATTTAAAACTAAGGAAAATCTGCTTAAAAATAAGAAAAATAGACGAGAGGAGAGTAATAGCAAAGAATTATCAGGATAAATGGATTGGAATTACAATATCATTTTGTGTTAAATAAATGCCCAAGATTTGAGTATGTAATTGAGATTCAAGGGTTAAAATACCAAGCACTTGTACTTAGCCAAAGAAAACAGCATCTGGAGAGTTCAAGCCTGTTCAAATGACCTGAACATTTACATTCCTGCTCCTCTGCAACCTGTTGCTAAATAAGGACAGGACTGCCAATAAAGGCAGCGCAAACCTGTCAGCGCTGCCTCCTGCCAGGACAGCAGAGAAGGGGCAGGAGTTTGCAGGATCTATTGTTTCCATGTACTTTTATTATTTATTTACACAGGGAGGTGGAGTGTTTTTCCATGTCACTGTAGGGTAATGTGGTGCTCTCTAAAGCTGACGTTCCCATCCGTCACTCCTACTTGAGCATTCTCTGGATCCCATGTCTGCAGGGCGTTGTGCAGAGGCTGGAGATTGCAGGGCTCTGCTGCCTGCAGCTTTCTGTGCACTCAGTGGGAGTGATGGTTAATATACAGTATGACCTAAAGAGTGTTTGACTTTTATTTTATTTTATTTTATTTTATTAAATTTTTAATAGAGTAATGGCGTTGTAACACTTTCACAAGCAAAATCTGAAAGAGCACAAGAGTACATCCTGGTTATACCTGCACTCTCTCCTCAGCCTGAGTGTGGGCAAAATGTGGAAAGACTCTTCAGTAAGGTTTGTCGTGGCAGGAAAAGGGGAAATGGTTTCAAACTAAAACAGGGGATTTAGACTGGATATATGGAGAAAGCTGTTCACAACAAGGGTAGTGAGGCACTGGCACACATTGCCCAGAGTGGTGATGGATACCCCATCACCCATCCCTGGAGGCACCCAAGGGCAGGCTGGATGGGGCTTTGAGAACCTGATGGAGCTGTAGGTGTCCCTATTCATTGTAGGGGAGTTTGACCAGCTGGCCTTTAAGGGAGCTTTCCAACTCAGTATTAGTTTATGAAAATGCAGTTCTCCACCAGGACTCAGCTGGCCTGAGGTCCTTAAGCATCTGCAGCCTGACAATGAAAACAAGAACAGCCCTTAGAGGGCTGTGAATTGGGGTGAAATGGTGTAGATTCCTCCCAGGGTATGGTACAGCTGTATTTTGTGCATCAAGCCTAGACTCTGAACTGTTCCTGTCTGGTGTCATAAAGAACAACTGCGAAAGTTTATTTAGCATCCCATGGAGCAAATCTTCAACCATGGTGAAACTGGACTGTTCTGTGTGTAGCCTTGTGTCCCTCCTTCAGAACGTGCACACAAGTTTCTTGTTTTCTAGTTTTTGCAATGAGAGCCATGAAATACAGCGTGCAGAAAATGGAATCTGTATCTTTTGGGAGTCTTGAGCACTGGGAGATGGTATTACCTATGTGTTTGCAGAAATCAGTGTATTTTAGTTCTGCTGTATGCCATAGGTTGTTTATTGGCATTTTAGTTTACGTGCCTTACTTCAAAAGTGTTTTGTGTGGGTATCAATACTATCATTGTAGTATCTGTTTTATATTTCTGTTGTTTCTTTACTAATGAAGCTTCTCTTGTTAATTACACCCAAGTGTAATTAAGAAAATAGTCCAGTATATAGGAGAAGTTATGGAGGACTCCAAAGATAAAGTCCAGGAAAATCTTCTGGCCAATGGAGGTAGGTGCCGTGAACGTGGGTATGTTAATGTACTGATGCTGCCTGTGTTTGCTTCAGAATATGAGCATTCAGAATTGAAACACTCACCCATTAGACAAGACAACCCTCAGGAGTATTTTCTAAGAGCACATCTAGCCACGTTACATTTTTTTCCAGAGTTAATGGAAACTCTATACAGTTCCAGTTTTGCTTCCAGGACAACATTCAGTGTCTGGCACTGTTTTCTGGAGGAGCACTTGCTGCAGAGCCTGTGCTCTGTCAGCTGTGGATTTCTAACATCACAGGTGGATGCTGGGGGCAACAATTCAACTACTAGGGAGTTATGAGTTGGTTGGGAGCAGCAAGACCAGAAATACTGTTATAAACAGTATTGCAGTAACAGTGAAAGCCTGAGGAGTTTCCTGCTCTGCTAGCTTGGCTTATGTATGTACTTTGTTAGTGGAGCTGTGGTGCTGTTCTACAGCAGATAGGTGGTGAGGTCTTGCAGGCCTGCGCAGTGGCTGATGTGAGATCTCCATTGCCAGAGGAGGGCCTTGTCACTGCCCTGCCCCTATGCTGCTTCCTTAGAGGAGCCAGGCTGCACTCACAGGGTGATGCCACAGCTGCTGGGACATGAACTGTTGTTTCCATTACAAATACCTTCTCTTTGGTTTCCCTTGTGAGGCCCTGCTCTGCTCTCCGATTTGGGAGAGACTCACAAAAGTCATGAAGTCCAAATCCTGGCTTCACACATGACCACCCAAAATCAACCCCTGTATCTGAGGGTCCAAATGCTCTTTGAACTCTGGCACTCAGGGCCGTGCCCACAGCCCTGGGCAGCCTGTTCCACGCCCACCGCCCTCAGGTGCAGACCCTGTCCCTAACCCCCCTCATCCCCCGCTTAACACAGCTCCATGACTGAGAGCAGAGCTCAGCACTGCCCTCCACTCCCTGTGGGAGCTTCAGCCACCCTGAGGCCTCCCCTCAGCTCCTCTGCTCTGGGCTGAGCGCACTGAGGGACCTCAGCCACTCCTTGTGCACCTCAACCTCCAGACTTTTCCCCATCTTCATAGGTTGGGGAGAAAGTCCTTTTAGAAATGTCCTTTGTGCATGAAATAAGACTGGCTTTTTATGTGCGCAACTACTGGCCAAGTACAATAATCCCACTTATTTATGTTACAGGGCAAAAGGATAAAATGAAATGTCTGAAAAGTATGTTGAGGATTGCTGATTGCAGTGTTGCTACAAGCATGCATTTGGGTGTAGTAGTGCTAGAAACAAGTCTTGGTCTGGTTGTAGAGATACAGTGATCACGTTACGATGGATTTCTCAAGTAACGACCTCGTAGCTTGATCACGATATCCCTATGACTTGAGAAACAACAGGTTGAACTTATTTCTTGTGTTTCCTCTTTTTACACTCTTTTCCCTTCCTGTCAGCTCTGCATGTCTTGTAATAGAAGGATGTGGAAGTTTCTTGTATATGCTACTAATTTCAGTCCTTTGTCATCCAAAGGAGCCATATGTAACTAAGACTTTTTTAAGATTATTGATGCCGTCTTTAAAAAAAATTAATTGATTTTAATATATAGATACATATATTTAGGATTCCCCTGTTACAATCTAGTATCATTCCTCACAAGCAGCAGCAACACTGAATTCTTCCTCTGTCCCTTTTTGGATGGAAAAAAGGCCCTAAAACTGAAGGTCATGAAATCAGAATCAAAATTGTAAGATATGGCTTCTTGCTGCAGAGTCCAATTTCAGGCTATTGGACCGTGCACACTCAGCTTTTTGATTACAAATGTTCTGGTTTTAGCTCAGCTGTAGGAATTCCTGACAGCAGTTTGGTCTACCAGCCAACTCAATTGTTGGCTGTGTCTAGCAATTGTCTGATTAGAATTGAAGGGGAACTGCAAGCATCAGCAAAGAAGAATTAAGTATTTTGTAGGGAAGGTAGTTTATATTGCTGCTTAGAGCTGGCTGAGTACAGCAGAGCTAGGAAGTATTCAGCCTGTGGGATTCCTGGGCTGCTGAGGAGGAGGCATCTCTCTTGGGCAACAGTAAGGAGAAGCAGTGTAGAAGGGAAGGGAATTGGGAGCGTGGCCAAGGAGTACACCTGTGGAATGGGCTGAAGGCTCACCCTGTGCTTAACTGCTGAACAGATGAGTTCTGCTGAGACTGGGGAATATGAGAATAAAAGGGGCACAGGGAACTTCTGTATCTCTGCTTTGCCCCCTTTCCACATGCTTCCTGTGCTTCCTGGTAATGCATTGGCAGGAAGGGCTGAATCTGTGTATTGAAAGAGAGGGAGAACATGGTCATGCCAGTGTTTTCTGCCTTCTGTTCAATATATCCTTAGATAAGAAGTTGTCTTCGTCCTTTCATAAAACTTTCCGTGCTTCGGAAATCTAATAGGGTAAACTGACTCTGATGTGGGGTGAGAGAAGCCCACGGAAAGGATAGTGCTCCCCTGGCAGGGTGTTTGATGTCACACGAGGCGGGGTGGTACCTTAGCTTGGTGCTGTAGCAACTAAACAACTTTTCACATTCCTTCTCATGCATCTCTGTTCATACAGTGCTCCTCACACTGTGTGCAACCCACGAGGAGCTGCGTTCAGCCCTTGCCTTGGGAATGGTTAACTCTGCACCAGGCAGTGAGGAGCACTGAGCAGCCCCACTCGTCCCTCCTTTCCTTAGCTTCCTGAGCTTGTTCTGCCCCATTTCCCCATGGCAACTTCCCAAATGTTCTCCATCCTACCTGTCTGGGAAGAAGCTCAGTGCAGCAAACACTAGTGTCTCTGTTTCAACTATTTTTTACTTTGGGGATGATTAGATTGAGCATTTGATTTGTGCAGATATGATCTAGATCAAATTTCTATGAGAATTCAGAGGTTGGGCCAACCAAAGCTCTACACAGGATACAGCTGGGGGCTGCCACCCCAGCCTTGAGTTTCCATCATGTCAGCTGTCTGCTTTAATGCATTTCTTTGTATTTCCAGTTGACCTGATTAGCTACTTGACCCGGTTTGAGTGGGACATGGCCAAATATCCCATAAAGCAGCCACTGAAGAATATATCAGAAGCATTAGCAAAGGTAAACTGTGCTCCAGGTTGTCAGAAGATCTCAGAATGGTGAATCATGTCTTTTGGCAGGTTTTGGTCTCTTTTGTCACAGCAGTCAATGAGAGTTCTGCCTGTGGTTTGGGCAGCAGCACGTTCAGAATCTTGCTGTACTGCAGCAGTTGATTTATTTTAATTTCTACCGTAATAACACCAATAAATATCTATATGTCTGTATCTATACAGAGATATACAAACCTATTCATTCCATAAATATATGGACTTTTAGCAGATTTATTGGACTACTCTGATACGTTCTACATTTTAGTTCCCTTCACTGTAATATTTTATTGTTTTTACTTACTGTATAATCATTCTCCTTGTTGGGGTTTTCTTGTGAAATCATTGGCCTACATTAAATCCAACACATTGCAGTTTGGATGAATTATTTACACTGGCAGCCTGTTCAGAAAGGAATGAACCGTTGTTCAGTGTAGATAGCAAATGAAATACACAGTAACAGCTAACCAAGTCCTTCTTGCTGCAGAGACCATCACCCATGACTGAGCAGTTCAGTGGAACCCAGAACTGAAGTGGGCTCCCTCCTGGCTCTGTTCAGATGGTTTTAGGAGGGGCTGGCAGCTGTGTTATCTCTCTGCAGTGCAGAGGTAGGAGGAGGAAGGTGAGGATGACGCCTCAAGCAATTTCTCACTTCACTTTTTTTGTTTTGTTTTAGCAAGTCACTCAGATAGAAGCAGATCTAAAGACCCGATCAGCTGCATACAACAATATTAAAGGAAATTTGCAAAGCCTGGAGAAAAAAACTGTGTAAGTACAGCATGTTCCTGTTGAGCTCTGGAATGCTGCATGGATGACGTGAGAGCAGTGTGTGCCATATCTACTGCTGTGCAGTGAACTGTGTGTGCTGTGATGGGTGCAAACGTAGTGCCTGACTTTGGGGCACACTGAACATCCAGAGATGAAGGGGAAGCCAAGGTGGAAACTGGTGTGAGCAGCATGTCTTAAAATCAGCTCAGGGGAGACTGCAGTTCCTTATATGACTCCATTAGCAGTGGGAGGACAAAGCAGTGGTAAAGAGTCAAAACCAAATGCCAATATATTGCTCTGATGGGATTTTAGGGAGTAAAAAATTAGATCAGCTGCGTCAGCCAGTAGATTCCTTTGCAACACAGTGCTGTCTCCTTTGGAAGCAGTGCAAATGCTTTTTCAGAAAGCCAGTTTTACAATATTCCAGGCAAAAGCGTTTATTTTCCTTCTCTGCTGAGCCTATCTCACCAGCATCCCACTTTCATTTCACTTTTGTTCTGTTCTGCTGGTCAGGGCAATGCTTTCTCAGAGTTTCCAAAATATTTTCTCTACCATCTTCAATTGCTTATGATCTTTACCTATGTGCTGCTACCTGGAGTTGCAATAAAAATAAATGGCCTTCCTAGAAGCGTAGCCATGTCCTTTAGCCACCTCATTCTCTAGTGCTTTTCAACTCTAGGGTGCACTACTGTCAACCATATCTACAGCACGGTGTGCTGCTGCTGGGTTCCTGCTAATGTCATTTTTTCTTTGTCTCGTTTTCTTTAGGGGAAACTTGCTGACTCGGACCCTCGCAGACATCGTGCATAAGGAAGACTTTGTTCTGAATTCTGAGTACCTTATCACACTGCTGGTCGTGGTGCCAAAGTAAGGCGATGGTGTGCGCACGCTCAGATGTGATGTTGAGTTTCAGACCTAAGTGTTGGATGCAGGCACTGCAGTTGGGCAGCTGATCTGTGCTGTGTCTGGGGAGCAGGTGGAACCATTAGCAAAAGGAACAGACTGCTCCCAGCTCAGAGCAGCACAGAAGTGGGATGTAGGTGTGTAAATGTTACAGAATGGGTTCTCAAACAGCTTCCTGGTAGGAGTTAAGAAAAACCAACGCGGCAGAACATATTTGTAATGGAGCTGATACAGTTTATAAAAAGAATCAGACCTGTCAAACTCACAAGGGCTCTGCTGGTCATGTATTTGTAAGTGCCTGCACATAGGATAATTGCTATCGCCATCAGTTGTGAAGGTACAAGGTACCCTTCCTTCTGAAAGCCTACACAAAACTTGTCCTCTTAGTACAACACTATTCCAACCTGCACACACAGTACCATCACTTTTCTGTCTGACAAACACATTTCAAAAAGCTATTTGAGGTAAGTTTACTGAATTTATTACCAGCATCTTCTTTGGGTTCCTGCTATAAACACGACTCACTTTGCAAACTTTCCCTTCCCTTGGCCCCATTCTCCCAGTGCTGCTACTTGCCAGTGTTGCACCACGTCAGCACTGGACCATGAGACAGTTATGTGGGGCTCCTGGAATGCAGGACACAGGGCAGCCTATACATGGAAACCTCAATTTTTCAACCCCCACCTTCCTGCTTCCTCATCCCAAGACCCAGAGTGAGGGAGGACTGAGGATGATATAATGGGAAAGCTCCCTGTAGCTAGTGACTTAGGACAGGAAAGGAAAGAAGCAGCTTTGCTGTCACAAAACACAGCACAAACAGCTCCTATTCTAAGCAATTAGCTTCATTATTTTTATCAACACATTCTCTTTTTGGTATATTGCATTTATTTACTCTGTTTTCCTTTGTGTTGCTCAAAGATCAAGCTACGTACAGTGGCAGAAGACCTATGAATCCCTGTCTGATATGGTAGTGCCTCGCTCCACCAAGTAAGTGACATCCCAAGTTCATGACCCTGCTGGCTGCAGATACCTCTGCCATATCTGTCACTCAAGTTGCTCAAGAATCAGTTGACTAACACATAGGCTCTGTATGTTAACATATGGATTTGCCTAGTATCATTCTCACTTGAAACTGGAAATTATTCTGTTGAAGGAAAGTACAGATGAAAGCTTCAGTCTCTGCTTTTTTTTTTTTCCTACAATTAGCTTCTTGTTGCTCCCTTTTCCAGTAAGCTAGTTCTTTCCCCTTGCTGTGATCATATGAACAACAAAACAGGGCTTTTGCTTGTTTTAGAAAGATAAAAGCTTGTTACAGTAATCCAGGCCTAATTCAGACATATAACCATGTGCAACTTTATGAAAGCTCCTTTTAAAAAATCACTACTTCTGCATCTTTGTTTTCTGCAGAAAAATAGAATTATCTGATAATTCTAATAATCTAATAATTAATCTAATAATAATCACTGAATTATCCTGCCATTTGCATTAGCATATTCCATATTAACACCTAGAATGAAAAAAATTCCTTACTAGGAATTAAATATTCCTCTGCTCAGCTCAAGGCAGATAAATTGTCCAACCCAGGGTGTGAGAGGTGACTGAGCCTGACTGTCACATTATCTGAAATGGAGGAAGCAGAAAGCACAGGGAGAGGAAAGCTTTGTGCAACTGCCTGTCTTAAAAACACATGCATGGAACAAGCAGAGGAACATATTAGGAAACAGAAAAAAAAGTGTGTGTGTAAGCAAGTTGTCTGCATCAGAGATACTGTGGTTGGTGCTATTAAAGCCTTTGTTCCCTGTTTCAATCACATCTGTCTTGAGAAGTGAGGTACTGTTCATGAGGTACTGTTCATGAGTGAGCTCATAAACGAAAGAAAGAACTGCAAAAGGGAAAGGTGAAGCCAGTGTGAGATCGGCCGTGCCGAATCACAGCAGGGATTTTTCCCTCTCACAGAATGATCGCTGAGGATGCCGAGGGAGGACTCTTTACAGTCACCCTATTTAGAAAAGTGATGGATGACTTCAAGGCTAAAGCTAGAGAGAACAGGTAAGCAGTCATGCTTTGCAAGGAATCCAGCAACTGTTCTTCCTGCTCTCATGCGATAGACAACAGGATGTTTGCTTTCTGGAGGTGACTTCAACTCCCACCCTGCAAATCCTTTAAAGGACCAGCAGCTTCAAAACATTCCCATCTTGCTTCATCAGAAGCAAAAGAAACGATTGTACATACTGCTTGGATTATGGCTTGTGAGAGCAAATGTCATTCAATTGTAGGTTCATGGTTCGAGAGTTTTATTTTGATGAGAAGGAACTGAAATGTGAAAAGGAAGAGCTGATGAAGCTAGCTTCTGATAAGAAACAGCAGTATGTAAGTAGTACAGCAAGTTGCTGGCCTCTATATTGACAGCCTTTGGTACCTGTGTGTAAGGATCTCACTTAGAAGAGGCTTTCTGATCCCAATAGATGCCTGTGAGCTCCAACGAGCACTAAAAACCAAGGCGTGGGATAGATAACACCATTTGCCCAAGGTCACACAAGTTTCTGATCTACTAGGGGACAATAATGGCCTGCCCGAGAATTAACTCAGCAGCCCTTGATGCCTCCCATGGCATTAGCAATGGAGCCGTGTCATGCAGTAAAGGAGGAATCACAGCACTGCTATTTCTGTTCTCATAGGGCCCGTTACTGCGCTGGCTGAAAGTGAACTTCAGTGAAGTGTTTGTGGCTTGGATTCACGTGAAAGCCTTGAGGGTTTTTGTTGAATCAGTCCTGAGGTAGGTGGGTACACGTGCGGTGCTGGCAGATTCCTATCAAAGATAAAAAGTACCAGCTCACTTTCTTCATGGGGGGGAACATCCCTTACAGAGAGCTCACAGGAGATGGTACAGATGACTACAGAACAAGTGACACATAAAGCTGATGAGATGCTTCTTTGGGGTCACTTACCGGAAAAAGAACGGTGCTTAGTTCCCCTATGGCTTCAAAATAGAAGTGCTTTCAGAGAAGGAAGCAGCACAGCACAACCGGGACCTTGCAATATATAAATAGGAAATGCACCAGGAGGTTGAGGAGGGAAAAGAGCAGGAATGGAATGGGGTGACCTGTGGAAAACAGTGGGGTATTTTGCTGTGTTCGCAGGTACGGCCTGCCAGTGAACTTCCAAGCGATGTTGCTGCAACCAAATAGGAAGTCGGTAAAACGCTTGAGAGATGTCCTAAATGTGGCCTTCAAACATCTAGATGAAGTTGCAGCAGCAAGTATAATGGATGTATGTATTTGGACTACAACTGCACGAACTGGAGCTTGTCCCAGTTTAGTCCAGGGGTTGGAGCAAATGCCTCATCGCACCTCACAGCGCGAGGATCCCTGGAAGCAGCTCTAATCCCTGGTGCTTATGGAAAGGATTAGTGGCAGGTAGGGTCAGGTCATCATGGAGAGCTGCAGAGTGCAATTACAGTTTCAGTAAGCATCTGCTGCTTACAGTTGCTGGCCTGAAATAGGCCTGCTCACTTATATCAGTTCCTCCAGGTAAGCTTCAAGCATTCAGCTCAGTGCCAGCAACAGAACTGATGTAAAACAAATGCTAGGACTCTGAGATCTCCTTGCTCTGTAGAAGGCCGTCACTCACTAAACATCTCAGCCTAGGACTGCACCAGGCAGCAATACTTGTTTCCCCAGACCCCGAGTGCACATTTGAAGATAAACCGAAAGGAGTTTACAATTGCCTGAAATCAGGCAAGCAGTAAGTTCCCAGTGCACAAGCCAAGGAGAAAAAAAAGGAAATATCAATACTGTGTCAGGCAGCCTACTAAAACCACCGAGCAAATACCAGATTCTCTGACAATTCTTTGTTAAGCATAGCAAGTACAAGACTCTACTCCACCTAAGTGAAGCAAGCAATTTGCTTTAGCTTGGAACAGCACAACGCTTTTATTGATACTGAAGTGATGTTGTTTCCTTTTGCAGCCTGGCATGGACATCCCTGGTTTACAACTGAGTAATCAAGAATACTATCCTTACGTCTATTTCAAGATTGACCTCAGTCTTCTTGATGGCAGTTAAGAAGAACAAACCAACTATTTCATCTATTAATTTTCAAGATCCAAATATTATACTATAAGAATCCTCAGCTGTTGAAATTCAAATTGAAATGCTGATGAATAAGATTTTCCTAACACTGTCAGTAATTTTTTATGTGACTTCAAACATCTTCAGTTCATAGCATTATAAAAAACGTATTTCCGAGGCAGGTGGTACTATGGTAGTATTTATTACTTTTTGGTAAGTTACAAAGATGGAATCTCAATTGGATTTAAAATTAAACAATTTTGTGGCTGATTTTTGGTGTGGTGGCTAATGTTCCTACTAATTGTACAGTACTGGTTTTGGAACAAAGTGAACTTCAACCAGGGAAAAAAAAAAAAAAAAGGACAGAGCATCAGAGCAAAGCCCCAAGGCTTTGGTTTAAGAAGAAAGAGTTTCAAAGCTTGACTGGAGAATGACTTGTGGTTCCACGTGCTCACAAGTTCAGTTTTTGCCAAGACACATCCATTAGAACACGTTTATTAGAAGAGCTGGGACAACACAGAATTGAAGTAGGTTTCCCGCCCCACATCAGTGGTCAGACTGCCAACAGTTATCATACTGCTCCTAGCTCATCCCTATGCAAGGCAAGCTCTTACACACAGTGCCAGATGATGCATTTCCATTTTAATGTTATCTCCTTGAAAAGATGGGAACTTCCAGTTCCTTCATCCCTTACTTAGAATCAAACTGATCCCATCAGGGTCAGTCCGCTAGACACTGATAGACAAGACATGGAGAGCAACAAAAGGCTGTGGTGTTTTCTTATGAACAACAACAAAAAAAAGGAGTGCCGTCTTCACTCCCAACTCTGCTTCCTCTTCAAAGGAAACTGCAATTTCATATCAAAACAATGTCAGACAGGAAGAGAAATACCAGACCCAATCTGCCAGAGACAGCACTTTGGCTTTTTACTATTAGCACCTAGAAATACTCGTGCCCTAAAAATGGGGATTAGTTTCACTGCCACTCCTGGGGAAAAAACCAGCAGCTCCCAGCTCAGCAGTGTCTCCTACTGGATGGCATCTCCCATTGCAGCAGCAACCCAACTCCCATTGTTTTAATGATCATATCAAGGCTGGCACAAAGAAAGAGAAAACCCCTGAGAAAGAAGAGGAAAGGGAAGCCTGAAGAACATTTAAGCTAAGATTGCCTCTCTAACCAAGCTTTAGCACAAACCATCAATACCTTTCACAGTTAAAGCATTCAGGATAGCTCTCATCACCAGCCTCTCTCTTCTGCCATTTGCTTCTGAAAAGTCATCCAAACCAGGATAACTTTTAGCACGTGCACTTCCATTTCTCTGTACAAGACTAACACTGTGTCAAAAATATTCTGTTTTATTTAATCGAAACAGAAGCTGACCAGGTTCCACCTCCACAGAAAAGAAAAAAAAACACATTTAAAATTGGTTACACTAACAGCCTTCTGTAACACTCAAACAGCACACTGTCAACAGAATAAAACCCAAGATGTTTCAAAGAAAAAAAAAAACCAAAATCAATGTTGTCCTCAAAATACTTGTTACACAGAATACAATCAAGTTCACTGGTTATGACAATTCATAGAATTTCTGCAATGTTTTCTTGAGTTGCGTACAGTTCACTGCTGCAGTGCATCAAACAGCACAGCTGTCTCGTGCTATTTCTCCATAAAAAGGCCACTGGAAAATCCATCTGAACATGAACCAGGTTGCAAACTGCTGCGCAAACTCTCCCAAGAAAAGAAGATTCCTGAAGATCTCACAGCTCATCTTTATCCCAGATATCATCCAGATCCACATCGCTGAGATCAATATCATCTTCAACTGGAAGCTGTGAGAAAGCAAGTTTTGAGCAAATGCTTGTCAGCAAGCAGCACTGGAGCATCACTGAGTTGGATCCTTCATAGAAAAAGCAAAGTTCCCCCCTATCATTTCTGGCTCATAAGAACTGACAGCACTTGGAGCATGGGACAACTGATCAGAGTTTAGACTGGACAAAGAATGTTTGCTACTTATTCATTAAATATACCCCATATAGAGTTAATTGCAATCAGACAAGGTAACAGAACTAGTACCATATTCACAGAATTATAGAATCATAGAATGGCCTGAGTTGAAAAGGACCACAGTGATCAGCTAGTCTCAACCCCCCTGCTATGTGCAGGGTCGCTGTATTTTCATTCCATCTGAAGTAGACCAAAGATTGTGATAACTGCCTTTTACAGCAGTGTTGAACTTTAAGCAAGAACATACTGAGATCACTCTGTGGGCTTTAACTTTGAACTCAGTAAAATCAGTACATCAAGAAATTTCCACAACTTTTGGGCCTTAGGTGCACGCGCTACAATCTTCCTTACTCAGCATTGGTTAATAAAGCATTATTTCAGCCTCAAGGAGCTGAACTTTCCTATGACATTCTGACAGGCAGGAGTGCCTGTCCATAACGGGAGACAGTGAACCTGGTGCCTACCTTGCTGTTAACTAATTCCTGCCACTGGACCACCAGGATGACTTGCTGCAGTTTCCCCCACTAGCCACACTGCCAGTTCTTAGTTGCTGTCCCTTTGCTTCTGAACTGTGCAGAACAGCAGCATGCGTAGACAAAGAGCACTTCTTACCTCACCATCTTTGCCATCCCAAGGTTCAACTGCATGAATTTTAGGGAAAGCTCCACCTCCTACTGGTGCTGTAGAACCTCGACCAACAGACAGTTCCCTGAGAGGAAAGGAATTAAACAATTTTCTTCAGTTTCCATCCACCTGGAACAGGGCTTGCCTCAGATAAAAGGAAGATGCCTGACTACCTTTCTTCAGAGATGAGATCTCAGATCTAAATTATCTTGAAGTAGCTTTTCAATTTGCAAAGCAGAAAGTGATAAACAGGCTTTAAAGCAGCACTGACAATTCACAATTAAGATTCCAAAGATGGAGAAGACAAACACTTTAAGTTACACTGTTTCATATTTCAGCAGTGCCCTCTGTAATACTCATGGACAAATGCGGGACCTTAAAGAGATGCACAATATACTGTTAATACAACTCCAAGAAGAGTCTCTAATTCTAATTCTGGGAGTGACCTATTTTATGCAAGTCTGACTTTGAAAAGCTGGAAACGTTTCTTTTAAGCAGACCCTAAGGCCCTGCTGTCTCCAAGGGGTCCAGGATAACCAGCTCCTGCTTGGAGGCATCCCATCCTGTACCTGCTGCTTATGCTGGCTGAAGAAAGCTAACACTACAAGCTGAAGTGCTAATCCTTTTAAATACTTTCAGGGGCAAATAAGACACAGAACATGACCAGAAAGGTGACTTGTAGTAGAACAGCACTGATTTCCAAATTCTAAGAACTCCTCTGGTTACAGCAGAAACAGAAGTTTTTTCAAGATCAAAATTTACTTCTTGGTTTTCTAACTGTTTTCAAGTCTTAGCAACACCACAATCAAATTCTAAATGGCTGACTTCCTGACTGTATCTGTTCACTACAAAAAGGTACTGCTTAACCATCGCAGTTCTATTGAAACTATTCCCTTTCTCCATCTTTATTTTGAGCTACAGCTTGTTTCAAGGATTCCTTACCTTAGAAACTCATTGATCCCTTGCTCACTGAAGGATCCTTTCAGGAGGGCAAATTTCATCTTCCGGGCATTAACAGCTGCCATTGCTGGATACCCAAAGCCTCCTATTCCCAAAGAGCTCTCAAGATCTGACTGAGCACCAGCTTCAGTCCACAGCCACCTTAGGGTAAGAAAAAAAATAGGAAATGGAAATCAGGAAAGGCGCTACAGTCATTTCAGTCACACACATCTTGCAGCCCCGTAGTCAGCACCGCACTCTGAGCTGCCCTCAACAGAGCCAGCTATTCACATCAGCAGGGAACAGCAAGGTCTTCTACCAAGTAGAAGAAGAAAGTCGCTCCTGAGCAACACTTCAGGCCATCCCCACTGCCACAGCTGTTTTTCAGCTGAATCACAACCATGCAAGGTATTCTAAGGAAAGAGCTATGCTACCTACCTGAACAAATTTTTTCTGCACCTCTAGCCTACATTCAGCAAGGTTTATGACCAAGTACTGACCATATCCCACTGTAGAGGATTTTCTGGACAAACACTAGAAGGCCAACATTTCACCCAGTACTGTTTTCTCACTGGTCAGGTCTCAGTTTCTCTAATACTTAGCAAGTCCACAAGGATCCTTTAGAAGCAGCCAACTTCCACATTTCTTCCTCACACTTTTATGCTGGTCTGCTCTTTCTCAGCAGTCAGCATCTGAACAAATCTCACTTTCCAGAGAGACCAACATGCATTCTAGAGGAAGAGAGGAAACCTGCTGGTTTGCTCCTTTAGAAGCATGAGATTTGTTAATAAGCTGCTTTTTTTTGGGGGGGGGGGGGGGAATGCAACAGTCACACTGGCAGCATTACTCACCAGTAAAAGACTCAGTCTAAAATATCACCCTAAAATACTGTAGCATTCATTACAAGAGTACTTGATCACATTAATGCCTTGACAGCTTGCACAGGCAGGATTTGAGGAAAAAAAAAAAAAAAAACCCAACAGTTTATTCTACAGCTGCAAGCACCTCTCAGCCCAGACAGTGAACAACCAAGATAGAGAATCCAGAACAAGGAACAACTCTGTCTACAGGTACATCACTGTCATACAAGATTCCTTCCCATCACCTCTAAAGATGTGCACATCTTATCCAAGAATACCAGGCCACTGTGCTACTTACCCCCACATTTTCTTTTTGTATTTCTCAGCCATTTTTAACATGACATCCAGGTAAGAATTCCTCCCCGAGGCTCCTGTTTGTCAGACAATTAAACAAGTTAAACACAACCACAGGCTTAAAGGGACAAATTCCCAGAGGAAACTGCTTGCTTGTATGCCTACCTGTGTCAAGAATATGAGGCAGGACAGAAATGATGCAGAGCTGATGAGCATCACAGGTGGTCTTCAGAACATCTTCACTAATAATCTAAAAGAAAGACAAAGAAAAATCAGTCAAAAATAAGACTTCTGTTATCCTGCTGTGACTGCACTTCCCTCCAACAGCTCATCAGCTCCATCTGACAAGGTAATACGCATCTGAAGCAATACAAACCTTAAAGGCACTGCCTGCTTCATGCATCCCTAACTACAAGAAATTCATAAAACCTTCTGTTAAGAGCTGCAACAACAGGAAAACAAGCAGTACCACCCAAGGCTTACAGGGAACACAGCAAGCTGTTGCTCCTGCTCAAGGTAACTGTCCTTGGACCAGGGCTGGTGCAAAAC